GGAGTATGGAGATCTCGCAATGTAGTGGTTTTGTATGATATAACTAGATACGATAAATCATTCTGAGTAATCAGCTCAAATGCTTGGCAAGGTATTTAAACATGAAACTAGTGAGCACTTCAATTTTTGAGAGGTCACTGAGCATTGCTCTGCAGCTCGGGCGGTTTTACCTTGATCCGCCAAGATGTCAGAGGCTGACCGGACCAAGGCTATCCGTCGCTGTGTTGCCGAACTGAGGCGTTGCCTCAAAGACCGAGTAAATCTTGGTCCCCTTGAATCCTTGGCACACTTTCTCGCGTTTGCAGGCTTGAGTTTAGGGGTGATCTTGCAGGGGCAAGGGAGGCTGGTCTCTGCAGCCCTACAGGTTAAGGACCACGAAGCAGCGCCGAAGGCTGGGGAAAAGCCCCTCTACTGAAAGACCGAAATATATGGCGGTGACCTCCGTACTCAGATACGTTCAAGCAATTAAAGGCGGTATAAGTAACCCAGTTTATCAAATAGTGAACTCGAGTAATTTAACTTATCATTGAAACAAAGAGTAGCTCTACGCTGAACCACATCTAGGATCTTTCAATCTACCACCGAACTGTAATCACTGGCCCCTTTCCCACCTGTTTCCATTTCTCATTTGTTCTTGAGCTCCACGGTGAACGGATCCGCGCCCGGCTCAGCAAACAACAGAAGTAATCCCGCTGGTCATCGGAGTTCTGGTCCCATGGGAGGATAAACTTTCTGCCAACAACTTCAATTAGCCTGGCATTGGCAGCTTCAATGTGGAAGCACTGAATCTTGATAGCAAGACTGTAATCGAGTTTCGGGATCCTGAGGCAATGTGGGCTAGCTTGTTTAAAAGTAATCTTTTCGACGGCGATCTTAAAGAATGTCGAGTGAAGGTGCGAAGCTCGAAATCTTCAATCGGAGTTGGCCGTTCTCACTGCAAAAAGCTTCGTCTGCAAACAAGTACGGAGGTCGCCGCCATAAATCTTGGTCCCCTTGAATCCCTGGCACAATTTCGAGCGTTCGCAGGCTTGAGTTTAGGGGTGATCTTGCGGGGGCAAGGGGGGTTGGTCTCTGAGTCTGCAGCCCTACAAGTTAAGGATCACTAAGCAGCGCCGAAGGCTTAGGAGAGGCCCCCTATCCTGAAGGACCAAAACATATGGCGGCGACCTCCGTACGTATGTCCTCATATGTTTGCATACGCGGCGCAGAGTTGGGCATCACGTCGCAGTTGTGGCAGCTATTCAAATTGGAGCATCAGAGCAAAAGCCCACAAGCAGAATCCAAGTGGCGGCGCATAGGTAGTCTGTGTGACGGAAAGCTTAGTGCGGAGATAAGAGTCGCTCGCATCCACACATCCAGAAAAGGCGATAAGCTGCGGACCGAGGTCAAGGCATCAATTTGTAGGCTATTCATTTAATGCGAAACGTATCCGGAATGGAAGACACGCGGAGTGAAGGTCGCGAAAGAATGGCGTACCGCCTATCACTCATCTGTTGTTTAACGATGAGGCATGATGTTGGTGGTATTAAAGAAAATTCTGACGCTAGGCTTCCCACGGTTGGTGGTTTGGCCGGGTTTGTGGTACTTTGCTTTTATGGCTGCGATCTCTAGGTCTTTTCTGGGCACGAGGGTCCTTGCCGTTTCAACAGTTGTAAGGCCGGCTCGGATCTGTTGTCTGAAATAACAGACCTTCTTTCTGGCGCTGTAAAAAATGACTTTGTCAAATAGGTCGATGAAGAATTGATCCTCGACTGGAAGGCAACTGAGAACATCGTCGTGGAGGACGCTCAGCAGGTAGGAATATTGGATTTTAAAGTAGCACGTAATTTGACCGTTGAGCTCCTCATCACCATGTCGCTCAGCAAGGGCATCAATAATTGCTATCAAGTCAACAAGAAGTGTTAGCGCGGGCGTCAGATACGGCTGTATATATATGTCTTGCCAAAAGAAGAAAATGTACCCACCCCGAAGATAAACTAGCCTGGAGGGGAAACGGTACCCTGTGACGGGAACAAGAAATGCGGTTGTATTCCAGGATTCTGGACTCAAATCAAGATGCCAATAAGTTGCTGGAATTATGATGGTGCTTGTGGCCCAGTACCTGTCAGGACCATCGTCAGGTCCGGCTTCGTGAGGTAAAAACCGATAGCCAGGCCATCCTGTCGAACTTTCCTTGGTTGCACTGTCAAAGAACCGCTTGTGTGTCTGGGGCCACTCATCAAACCATGTGAAGCCAGGGCAGACCTGGCCAACTCCAGTTGTTCGTCTGCAACCGCGAGGTAGATGTCACTCAGGACCAAGGGACCACCAAGGGCCATAATGACAAGATCTCCAACCACACAGTACCTCACACCAGCTGCTTCAAGAACTTGAACAGGTGGAGAGATAGTTGAGTCCAGGCGAGGGAACCACACTTCATAGTCGGCCATTGTAATGTTTGGCTCAGTGAGTTCAAGCAGTTGTTGTCAAGTGTCTGAGAGATCAGTCCTCTCTGATGTGGATGCGCTACGAAAGAATCGGCATTATTAGACAACCAGCCAAGTTAGTTAGTTAGTTAGTTACTAGTCAGCATATTTACGTGAACTCCACACTTCCTTATGGGGTCTGCCCACAAGGGCACCACCTTCATCTTCTAGCCCGCGAAGAGCTGTAATGCGGGGATGCGGCGCCAACTCAGAACTGTCTGGATGCGCGAATCTCGATACTGTATGCCTGCCGTTGAAGATCATCCGGTTTGACCGTGATGACAGAGTCCTTATCAATACGTCTTGCGGGTTCAAGTTATTTTGGCTATCATTTTACGGAGATAGTTTGTCCGGCCGCCTCCACCATCGCCATCCACCTGCTCTTCACACAGGCGGCACTGATAAAACGGCTTCGATGTCATGGTTTCTGGATGGTTGCAACTACAAAGAAATGCTGCGCACCGGCTTTGGACCTCACGCGCTATACTCAAATCCATGGGTTATGATAACAAGCTATGCCGGATGACGGGGATTCTCTCTGCCAACTTGTCATGCTTGGTGCTCGCCTGCTCTCAAGTAGAGAGCCTAGCTCCGAGCCTAGTACCCTAGGCTAGAGAAACTGGGTAACTACAGGCCGGTGAGCCGTTGGAGATGCTGCTGTTGGTTTCGTGATTCGGGTTATTTTCAGTGAGAATAGCCTATGTTTTCCTATGTATCAGTGGCCACAATAAAACTTGGGGAGCCGTTATTCCACGCGTCCAAGATCACACGCTGCAGCTAGTCGCAGAAGTATTTCGATGGAGACTTGAAAGAGGAAATGCTATTATGGAGTAAAGTCTGTTTGATTGCGCGGACGCCTTATCTTCAACCACCCAGTTGCAATATCTCAGAACAAACCAAAACTGGTCCGAACTAAGCGGCCGCTGGCTTCCTGCCGTAGACAATATGCAAAACACAGTAGCTATGGACTCGCGGATTCTTCACATCTTTCCGCACGGCCGCCAAGAACACCTGAGTTTCTTCGTTACTCCAACCCAGCACGCGTGTGAAGAGGGCGAGCGAATACGATTCGATGGCCATCATCAACGAACACTGGTTGTATCTGCCAACCTCCTTCAAGAGCGGGTCAGCGGGCCATCCCGAGCACGGAACCTAAGCGTGAGGAGCGGTCAGTTAGTCAAAAGGCCTTTCTTTTCTTTAGCGTCAAGCAGGGGGGGTGGCAGAGAGGAAGGTCCACCTTGTAAACTTCCTCCTGCACGGATTCGAAACCAGCCTCAATCATCCTCTGTTTGTGCATCTCTGCAATATTCATCGGCTTCTTGAACATCTCGCTTGCCTCGTGCAACTTTTTAAGGAAGTCACAGAGGGTTGGCGCTAGCTTCATGGTGTCATCGTCCGATTTGAGCGTCACCTCAAACTCCTGCAACTCCACCCACCCGCCGGGTCGCACATTATCGTAGGCCTGGTTGAGCAACTTCGGCCAGTCAGTAATCGCGCCTCCCAAATCGCGGGCGTGGATGTAGTCAAAGGGCTGGTTCTGGCTAAACGACCACGGCGATTCCGCATCGTCGACGAAAAAGCGCAGGTTGGGGGGGATCCAAGTCGGTTGAATAGGGCTCAGATCAGTGCCGATGACTTCGGCGTCGGGGCGGGAATCCGCAAAATCAATCGCCCAAATGCCGGTGCCGGTGCCAACATCGAGAACCCGCAATGGCCCTCTGGGTAGCGGTGCTCGGGCGAGGGCGCCGTTCAGCATCAGGTTTCGCACATGGTGCAAGAGATCTTGCCGGTCCTGCTCCTGGTCATCGTTTGGAAGGACGTACTCCCCTTCACGGTACGAATGATACCTCCGGCCGTTTTCATATTTGTAGTCGCGCACTTCAGACAGCAACGATGCTGTATAGCTGGATGTATCCGAATTATCACCAAAGGTCGAATCCAAATCTTCCGTGTCCGGTTCGATAACGGTGGGATCTGACAGGGCTGGCACCTCGGGAATAATCTCTGGCTGGGTTTTTGGCTCGGAGCGAGCAGGGGGTGAAGAAGGCGGCGGACCCATGGTACCGTTTAAAGAAGCAGACGGCGAGGGAGGGAGAGACAATAACTATCGGATTTCTCGACAAGTGATGGAAGTTGAACGAGGCTGAATGAATATCAAGAAGAATTTGAATCATGCACCAAAAAGTCGACCATTGACGGGCTCGTCGGGCGCAACACAGCAAATCAGCAATCCCTGTCCTATATTTCCTCAATAGTGTCGTTGCAGGCCGTCCGACTCTTGACGGAGCGCTTAGGGCGAAAGTCAACGCGACGATTATCAGCTGCGACCCCGGATAGCGTCGTTCGCGGCGGGGCAATTTGTTCCGTCTCCGATCAAACATCCAGCAGCGGTGCCCTTTTTCCGTGTGCTCGAACAAAGGAGAGGGTTCACGGAGGCGAGGCTTCGGGCGGTTCTCGTCCAGCACGGCCCACGGGCTCCACGAGGGAGCGTCCGCACCGCACTAGCTAGCGGCCCGGGGTGTTCCATGGTGATCAACCCACAACGGCGACGTGTGCTGAGTGTCGAGTGGACAATTTGCACACACGCTAAGACGAGTGAAGCTGATGGTTCGTCTGCAACACAAGCCCATGTCACAGGCGGGCAGAACCAGACTTCGGCTATGATGCTGGGCTTCGACATAGCACACGCCACTCTAAAATTCAGGCCAGAGATTGGTTGGGCGTTGCAAAGAAGCGTTGCTCGTCACACAAAAGGGCGAGTCTCGAGAGCAGTCCGGTCGGTAGTTAACGATGTGCTTCCTGCTCGCTCGAGTGAAGGGTGAACACTGAAGAGAGGCTGTTCTCCGTAGTAATTAACTAAGAGCAGTGAGTGAAGACTAGAGGAGTGAGTGAACTCGAGTTTCGCACAAACCCGTCCAACTACTCCGTAGTCCCCCGGAGATCGTAAGTTAAAGAGAATCGAAAGGATTATTGGCACTATCAAGGTTGTTCCAACACTTGCCTCAGTCACTTTGATAACTAACTGGAAGATGCGACTCAAAGGCTCGAAGTGCGGCCATCCCAACTGCTGAGTCGGACATAATCTTGTCGTGCGACCCGTACTGCGCGATCTCTTCGCGGATGACTCCTTTGTTAAACCTCCAATCGTCCATCCACCGTGGCCCAAGTCGACTTTTCTTCTCTGCTTCTCCTGCTCAACCTTCTCAAACTTGGCCCCAGTGGGCCGTCGATGAGTTGACATGCCACAGCACAACGTCTGATTGGAGACGAGGGATACTGGCATCATACTCTTGCATGGAGTAGCGTGATATGGTATCTACCTCCGCTACCTTCATAGAACATTTATCCAAAATCTGGGATGAGGGAGCCTCATTTACAATACTCTATGTGTTTCTTTCCAGACTCCTGCTTCACTCCATTCGGGGATCTTGATCCGAACAGGGGCTTCGAACGATGCGCATCCCAATTGGATAGAGTTGATCAAAATGAACCAGGAAGAGGCAATGCATGGAGTCAGCATCAAATGCTCTAGAACTGTCGGCAGCTAGCCTTCAGAGCGAGGAATTGATCCTGCTGCGCTGGCGCTGGCGCTGAGCCCGGGCACTTTCATACCCCATACAATGGAAAATCATCTAAAGGAGCGTAGCCGGACCTGCAGATTTTGTATATACATTTCTTACTCCTTTCGTCGTGTCGCTGCACACTTTGGTCTAGGTGCAATCCCCATCATACTTGTGCTGCCGTCGCCTGCTCCTTCTTACCCAACGAGCGATCCACGCAACGGTTTTACTCGTCTCTCCCGCAACGCCGGGTTTATCAGGGCCATGTGGTTGGGGCACCACCGCAACACCCTCAAGCTGCTGCAAAATGACGTTGTCTTCTGGCCTAGCGAAATAGACGAGTGAATATCGGGGGCCAGCTCGTTGCTGCTCAGGGAGGATGCAAACGCGATGCACGCTGGCGCGGAGGACGCCAGAGGATAGCCTTGCAATCTGTTCACCCAGATGGATGATACAGTGCCCAGGAAGAGGCCCAGCCTTGATCCAGCGAATTGGAGGGCCGAATTCTCCGTCCTGATTTGTCCCGATTTCCTTGTCATGGGGATATGGTTGTCGAACTTCCAGCCCGCCTTTCCTGTTAAATAGCACGGTGATACTATTGGAATCCGAATGCTCGTCCAGCAAGACTTCATCGCCACGGTTAACTCGCGTTTCGCGGCTTGGTTGGATCTTGATCCACCGGACTTGATCTCCGCTGCAGGCTGACTGACGGTGCAGATTTTCCAGCGTGCCAGCGGGAAGTTTTAAAAGTGCTGTTAGGTGACGCAAAAGGATGGTGACAATGGTATGGGATAATTCGATATACGAATGAATGTGAGGGCAGGCGGATTGGATTGCGGAGGGCTGAGGAAGAATTGGCCGGGCGTTGGCTGCACTCCTCGGGCAGGGGATGGATAGAATGTCATCTTTTGAAACCGCATAAAATTCTTTCATGTCTCTCATTCGATTTTGATAGCCCTTGTACCTGGGAGCATAGCAAACCGTGTAAGCATCGCAATCGGAGGTATAAACATGGAGCAGTGGAGGATTTGTTTGAGGTGACGCACCCATAATAGCCACCAAACTTACACATGTCGTATTTTTCCTTTTCGCTGGAGGAAAGATTAAACAGCTGTTCTCCAAGCAAAAAGAGCCTATCGGCGTCTTCCAAAATATGGTTGCCGATCTCTGTCATCTGGAGATCCAGGTAGAAAGCACCGTGCTCTCGGCAAGCTTCCCCCAGACGCTGCAACTCCAACTGGTCATTTAACAGTAGTCTTGCTAGAGAGACACGAATCAAGGATCCCGTCGAGGACGCAGAAGGAGGGGGGAGGACGTTGCTGGAAATGGGAACCGGGAGGCTGGGAGAATCGCCATATTCGTCTCTGGAGCAGGATGTGTCGGGATGTCGGGTAGGGCCGTCGGCTGTGGCGCTCTCGCCGCTGTCGCGAGGGTCGTCCTTGTGTTGTAAAGAAATGCCGGAACCCGAGAAGCATATCAAGGGGAGAGATGGGAATCGGAGAGGACGGGCGACCATCACGACGGCATGCTTATCGTCGCTATCGATGATTCGTCCATCAACGGGAGTGAGTACGGATCTCGTCACAAAGACATCGCTAGAAAGATAGCTGGTGGAGGTGTGTGTGCGGTCGCATAACAACTAGGCCTTTCAATTCCTTGTCAGCGAAATTCCCACGAAGCAAGCAACGATGAATGGCTGAATCGACATACCGAGAATGCGTCGACCGGCGAGCAGTGGGTAGGACAAGTGGAAGGTATTTAAAAAAAAAAAAGCGCGACTTTGTCGAGATGAGACAAGATGGAATGGGTGGCAGGCGATCACAAGTTGGCTTGAGCCTGCCAGACTTGCCTTTCCCTGCAACAGTCCAACGACAAGGGTCGAGTGAAGGGGTCCGTTCACCAGAAGAACCGGCTCATGGTCCTTGTTCGCAGCGTGCGTCTTCCCATTCTTCAACTAACTACAGAGTCGAGCTGACCAGCGGTGGACACTTGTTGACACGGCTTCTAGTTATTGAACGATTCCGGCGGTTGGCGAGATGCGATACAGTGGACTTGGACTTCTCCTCCGGGTCTACAGCCCATCCGCCGCTCCATCCCAGCTCGTTTGCAGAGGTCTCAAAACCACCTCGCCGTCGCCAGCAACTACGCGCGATGACATAATCAGCAACAGCGCCAAGGCCAGAGTCCCCGCGCAAGTTGAACGCTGAAGGGATCAACGAGGAACAATCAATGTGTCTCGCATCAATCCCATCTTTTCAGGACAGTCTCCCCGGGAATTCAGCTCCATTGCTTCACTCCCGCGCTTCCTCTCCGTCCTCTTCCCCGTGGACCCTTTCCTCAAGGGACATATCACCCTAACTTCCGGCCGTGAGCCCGCCTTCAGCTTTATCTTCGCCGCCGGCTTCGACACTCAGTTGTTGACACCTCTAGTCAAGTCCGAGTCTTCGACATGGTCGATAGACCGATTCCACAGCCGGGGCCGGCACGCTTAAGACGTACCGCCGGGCCCGATGAATGGCTGGAGGCCGCCAAAAATTGCAAATATCTGTCGGAGCATCACATGAAGCAGCTATGTGAAATCGTCAAGGAATATATGATGGAAGGTTGTTCCCCATATGTTACTCCCTCCCCTCACACCTCTACACGGAATGTCGCGCAGGAAACTGACTCTGGGGTGACGAGTTAGAGTCCAACATCCAGCCTGTCTCAAGTCCGGTCACCATATGCGGTGATATACATGGCCAGTTCTACGATCTCCTTGAGCTATTCCGGGTTGCCGGCGGCATGCCCGGTGAACCCGATAGTGAAGGCATCTCCACTCCATCCGCCGTCATAACTTCAGATGACATCGAACCGCCCTCCGTCATTACGGACCCAAAGCTACGGAAGAAGATTAGACTCAGCCGGGAACACGAAGACGACGAAGAATCAAGCCATACTCAGGTAGACAATAATGGTGGAAGCAATGATACGGCTACGTCTCCAACTGGAAATTTTATTTTTTTGGGAGATTACGTCGATCGGGGCTACTTCAGCCTTGAAACCCTTACCTTACTTCTGTGCCTAAAGGCAAAGTAAGCAATAGCCTTGCCATACTCCGTACTTATTATGCATCGCTAATACTCGCCCAATCGCAAATTAGATACCCTGACAGAATCACCCTTGTTCGCGGGAACCACGAATCTCGCCAGATCACACAGGTCTACGGGTTTTATGAGGAATGTATTCAAAAGTATGGGAATGCATCGGTCTGGAAGGCTTGTTGCCAAGTGTTTGACTTTATGACGCTTGGTGCAATTGTGGATGGCAAAGTACTTTGCGTCCATGGTGGACTTAGCCCGGAAATCCGAACTCTCGACCAGGTACGGATAGTTGCGAGGGCCCAAGAAATTCCCCACGAAGGTGCATTCTGTGATCTGGTATGGTCGGATCCCGACGAAGAACCATCCACAACTTGGGCTGTGAGCCCACGAGGCGCTGGTAAGCTTCAACCAACCCTTGTCCCAGTTGTTCGCCAAAAGTTGTGGTTATCGGATAGGTAGCAGATGCTCATATTGATCGTTCTTCAGGCTGGCTTTTTGGAAGCAAGGTTGCCGACGAATTTTGCGAAGTCAATGACTTGAGTCTAATCGCGCGGGCTCACCAACTGGTCAACGAAGGCTATAAATACCATTTCAACAACCAAAACATGGTAACGGTTTGGAGTGCGCCGAACTATTGTTACAGATGTGCAAACATGGCATCTGTTTGTGAGGTTCGGGAAGATCTCAAACCGACGTTCAAGTTGTTTGCGGCAGTACCTGCAGATCAGCGACACGTACCACAATCAAGGCCTGTCAAGACGGAATACTTTCTTTAACTCAAACAATAATCCCACTTGATTGATGCTTAGCTGCAAAAACCCTTGATGCTCAGTCTAATTTCGCCACGCCCGACAGCAGCGGATCACCGGCACCCCAGATCCTACTCAAGCCTTTAATCTTCCTATGCTGTCAAAGGGCGTATGCTAAGCAGCGTTAGGTGAGTCTGCTTCGGGAAAGCATGATTGGCGTCCCATCAGAATAACCCCCAAGCGGAGAACGCAGACGCAAGATTTGTTATATTAGGACAACGCGTCGCGGTGCCTCAAAAACGCATGCAACGCCTTGGCAACATGTAGGTCTTGTGGCAAAGCAAAACAGTCAAATATTCTCAGAGGTTCGTCAACAGGCAGAGAGCGCCCCCCCTAAGTTACGAAATTCAGCTCTCGAAAACACAAGAGTAGAAATCAGTCAAACCCGGTTCAGATTATACTATACTGGCCCTGAGATAAGGCGACTCGAAGACGCTTAGCAACGTTTGGTGGGAGGAGTCATGGAATTCAAAATATCATTCATTGGCGTCAGAAGGATCGGTAAAGCATCCATAGGGAATTCGTTATCATTGACTAGCTAGATACCCACCATACACATGGCCGTCATTCTCACATTTCCATTATCATCGCGACTGGCGCCTGATTCGTGGAGCCGTTCAACACACGGCAAAGATTCCCCAAAGCTTCCCGAGCAGAAGATCAGAGTTTGAGAATCGAGTGCAATTCCTATTCTATCATTTCGGTTGTGAATCCGCGACATTGTTAAACGTTCCTTCAACGAAGGCGGGACTCGGGACGTTCGGGATTTTCTACTTTCAAAAAACAGCGAAGAAAAGGCCGACACCGACCGTCATTTGGCACATAGGAAGCTTGAGAGCGTCGGAGCTTCTTCCGTAACGGAGTACGTTGAAAGTCGTCACCATAGGCTCAGCCGATGGGCCGAGTCAATGTGCGGTCATGTGGCACATAGAGGGCGAAATACAGCATAACATATATTGTGAAGGGATCGTTCCCCATTAGAATAGTATGAAATAATTATAGGACCTCCATAAACTCCATCCACCGAGAACACCTCTCAATCCATTTGGGTATCCTAGCCACAACAAACTGTTACAGCGCAAGCGTCACTAGACGAAGAAACCATCAAGTCAGCAAAGCTCCAAAGGGAGGTGAAATGGAATTCAGAAAAGAGAGAGGAAAAGGACCGCTATACTTCTTCTCTTCCTCATGTGACTGCCAGGAAAAGGCGAAACTCCCAAGGAATGAGCCAATTAAGATACAGATGATAAAGTAACCATTGTAATACATGGCCAACAGCATGACGAAGTAGGCTACACCAAACTGAACCATGTGTAACAGCGACCGTAGCGTGTGTTGCAGCAACGTACGTCGTCGGCGTCGAGAGACAAAATTCGCTGTGGGAGTGATGTCGCGATCTGTTGAAGCAAGATCTTTGGGAGCTGGGCTTTGAACAGTAGGGATCTTTCGAGAAAATAGGGTTGGCTGCCCGGCAAGGTATCGATCATATTCGTGGCCGAGACGCCTCAGAAACTCAAGTGCCATGACGAGGAGAACAACGCCGACACACGATCCAGCAAACATGCCCTTGGAAGTGATTTTCCAAGTATCGGCAATGAAACCTAAGGGTAAACTGATCAACACATTTTCCTCTACCGCCTCAGACTGAACGTACAGGAACCGATGGTATTCCAATTCCATAACATCTGGGATTATGTCAGGAGAAGGATCTGTCATGTTGGCGGCCTGGTTGAAAACGCACCGAGATCTTGCATCCGCTCCCACCACCGTGCCCGCCGCCGTGCCCACCCATTGGCATTGCAGTCGAAGAGGGCATTGCGGCAGTTGAGGTCATGCTCATTCCTGCGTGCATCATACTAGACGACATCTCCATTTTCCAAGGTATCCGGCGAGAAGGTATTTCCCTTATGGGCCGATCGTGGGAAGGGCTTCAACGGCGCGTGCCTGGCTTTGTGTCAATAAACTCTTTCCACAGCGTTCAAAAGTACTGCGAGGAGAAGGGCAGTCGTGGGGTTATTTAAAGACGGGTGCGGACGGTAGTCACGAAGCAATCATGCTTGTACTCCTTATTAGTACCTCTTCCGCCTGCCAAACAACCAAGCAGGAATCAAAGCCAATCACAAGGAATTCGGCGAATACCAAGGTCCAATGCGAATGCGCTCCATCTCCGAGAGGGTCTGGTTGAGCACATTATTACTTAACAGCGCATCGAGGCGCGCGCGAGATCGGGCGCCTAAGAGTGCTTGAAAGCTTGGGCGCGGTGGACCCGTGGTGAGCGTGGTTCCGCCGCCAACTTCAGCTATAATTAACTAGCGGGCCATCGACTATTCGCTCTCCGCCAGCTCGGGGCGTTCTCGGGAGGACTCAAATCTGCTCAAATTGCTGGAGTGGCGTCAACGCAAGAGTGGTTTGCTCGAGTTCTGAAATCAGCCATTTCTTCAAGCTCCCATGAACAAGGGTTTCCCCCTCCCTAGCAGCAATATCAGAATATAAATGAAATTTTATACAAATGTCGAAACAACAAAAAAAGAAGCGAGCGTGTGCCAAGACCCCATGTCATGTGATACTGACATGCTTATGTCACCCCCCCTGCCCGCTTTGGCTCAAGCGGTTGTGCGCTCAGTGACTCTCATTCTCAGCATCAACACTCATCTCCAGACATTCTTTCAAACGATGGCACACAGGCCTCATGGCAAATCCCTAACAGCGGGTCTTCTCCCGATGGCGCCTTCTACCTCGCAGCAAGCAGCAGCTCCAAAGCCAAACTTCACCAGGACTACGAGTCCACGGCTGAAGCTTTTGGTACGCCGATTACCTCCGGGCCTAACTCAGGCAGAATTCGACGTGGCCTTGGGAACTGAATGGGCTCTGGGGAAAGGAAAAGTGGATTGGCTTTCTTATAAGCATGGAAAAGTGTCTACTGAGTAAGAAACGTCCCCTCAGAATCCCCAATTCGAAACACCATTCACAGGAGTTACCATTATACGACTAGCCCCTCGAAACCCTCGAAACCATCTCGTGCATATTTACGAGTCACCTCCTCAGCTATTGTGGGCGAATTGTCCGACAAAATCCGCGGAGCTTCCTTCCAGGACGCACGAAATACAGCTTCTGACCCCTCCCTATTGGGTCCGGCGACGCTTGAATATGCCCCTTATCCTCGTGCGCCCGGAGCAAAAGTGCGCAAGGATGCGCGGTTGGGGACCATTGACCAGGATTCGGAGTTCATCGCTTTTCTGGAGAGCCTGACCAACCCCGTCCCCAAGCCAAGCTCAGACGACCTTCTGGAGCCTGAAAGGGAAGAAAAGATCACAATCACGCCACTAATTCAATTCCTCAAAGAGAAGAAAGCAAATAAAGCGAGAGAGGCCAGTCTCCCTAGCAGAGCAACCAAACCATCGAGACCTGCTCCCAAAGACTCAAAGGCAGTCCAGGCGAAAAAAGTTCTCAGTCGAACCGAAAAGCCTGCCCCAGCTGCAACCGAAAAGAAGGGGAAAATCGAAAAGGCCGCCAAGGATACCGTTAAAGCAACCAGCAAGCAGGTCGCTGGTCAAGCTCCAAAGCACAAAGGGGGAAAGTCGGCGGTTGCTGCTAACCAAATCGAACCAACACAGCCACCCTCGCCGTCTGCGCCAACCCTGGAACGGAAACGGGAGCGTGGGAATTTGACCGCTGCGACTAAGATTCTGCGCCGGGACTTGGGACTAGTCCCTCCTCGCAGAAGAGGAGATAAGCCAGCGCCCACCGACAGTACACCCACAGCAGTTGCACCGAAGGAATCTCCTTCCGCGTCATCTGCAGAAACGGCGAAACAAGAATCGGCGGATACCAGACAACTTCGGCCGGAGGCACCACCCAAGGTATCCACTCCACGTCTTCTGAAAAAGCCACCTATAGAGCCTTCCGCTGCGCGTAACCAAAAGGCAAACCCCCCTACGGGTCCTAAAAATGCTCCGCCTTCGAGCCCAAAAGTTCCGGCACCACGATCGACTGCCACCCAGGCGTTCTTAAAGCATGCTAACCCATCGCAGGGAGTAACAGAAGAGCTACTAGACGCCGGGTTTTCAAAGTTTGGAAAAGTTGTCAAAGTCGAAATCGACAAGAAGAAAGGATTTGGATATATTGATTTCGCAGATCCAGAGGGATTGCGGAAAGCGATACAAGCAAGTCCTGTGCCAATTGCACAAAGTCAAGTGGTGGTTTTAGAACGGCGGTCAACGGCGGCTGTGGCTCAAGCCCGTGGAAGCCATATCCGAAACCATGCACCATCGCCGCCGCCGCCGCCTCCGCCAGCACCACCCATGACGGTATCAACGGCTGCTTCAGGAGAAGGTTCTCCTGCACCATCCCGACCACTGCCCAAAGGCCCCAGGGGTGGAGGTCGTGGAGGGGCAAGGCATCGCGGTGGTTACGGCAGAGGGGGCAGAAATGCTCCTCCGCCGCGTTGAACGGTTTGTTAAAACTTAATACCAATACAGCTGCAATCTCATTGTTACTCCTTACACCCGTTGTCCAAGCAATGCAGTAATGATGGGAAGGAACAGGAGTATTTGAAGTGGCACTAGGGATTGCTCTGACAATATAATTCATTGAGATATCATTTGTCTGTAGAGACTCATGAGGTTCCTTGGGTCCCACAATGTGGAGACTGGTGTGGCATCACGGCGACTAAGTTGTCAGAAATTGTGGATTTAGTGGTGATATGCTGGCGTGGGTTGATGGCAAAGTTAGGTTTCTCCTGTGACTTGTTCTAGCACCGGAACAAGAGAAATTGGAATACAAAACAGCAGATATATGGACAAATGCAGCATAAACTCTTATCATTTTCAATTGAATTAAGTCTTTCCCACTCATCACTTAAAATACACAAAAAAGAAATAAAATATCCTTCAGACCTCCTCGACACCCACCCACAGAGACCGACCGAAGTCAGAGACGCCTCTGTTAGGTCAAGATCATCACCACTCCCTGGACATTGCCCAAGAATGCACACACGCTTCAGAGACTGTAAGGTCTCCAGAGAACGCGATAGTATCTCGGGCAGGGTCGAGGCGGGAGTATCACGGCTTCACTTTAGGGCATCGAGGGCATGGTGGTCATCAGCAGGATTGAGAATTTACCCCTCTAGTACGAAATACAGAGTGGGACGACTACTGAAGAAATGCTGTTGGAAGAGTTGGTCAGCCCAAGCCAAGCGATAGGAGTGGACAATTTGTATACTCACATTCTTTGAAGTAAAGTCGACATGAGAAAAAAAAAAGAAGAAAAGAAGGAAAGATGGTGGAGGAGAGTCGCAGACTTTATACCAGGCGCGAGGTCTAGGTTTACGCTAGGCAATAAGCGAGTCGGCTGCTCAGTGTTCTGATTGGGCCGTTGATTTATGGGGTTAAGTAAGCACAAATCTCGGAGGAATAATTATGCGGCCGTGGAGGATCTCAGGATACCTCGGTAGTTTGATAACCTCAACAGAAATTACCTCATTTAGAGAGAAGGGCTATCATTCTTGCGAACACAACAGAGTAGGATAACTAGTGGTTATAGGGGTTGAGGATGATTCTCAGAGTAATGTAGAATTGTCTGGCCACAAAAAGAAAACAAAGAAAATAACTCCAGATAGCCCGAAGAACACCATGCAAATGGCCATAAATCCAACATCTCATGCTGCTACAACTTCCAGCGCAGGCGCTGCATCAGCCGTGTTTCCTTTATTCTTTCCCTTTCTATAGACGCGCTGGTCTTTCGGGTCAAATCCTCCGTTTCCCCACAATGCCCATTCGTCCGTCTCGCTCATGTAATCTTCCGGAGTGAATGCCTCGCCGTCGGTATTTTCTTTCTCTAATAGCTCGAAGAAGCGCTTATAATTAATTTTGGTATGCCACTTATCATTGACATAGAATCGGTGCGATGCGAGTAAAATACAACAACTGTGACTGTGCTCGGCAGCTATTCCGTACCCAAGGCCACGCCTGTTTAATTCGTCGTTCAAAGCTACTGTGAACGCAGCAACTTCCTCGTAGAAGGGTACATTTTGCATTGTCAGCCCGGCACCGGCACTAGTGCTCGTCCCGCAGTATGTCACGCCCTTGATTTCAACGAAGCATGGGAGCCCCTTTTCCACTAGGTCGGCATATCCAACAGCCTCATCCTCAATATTGAATCCTTTCACAAGTGTCAGGCGATACACGGTTCTCTGAAAATGTCTCTTTTCTCGGAGAATGTCTAAACAGCGCTGAAAGCGTTCCCAGAAATCTCGGTGGAGCGGGCGATCGATCTTCCGCAAACTGTCGCGGTTGCTCGCGTCTATTGAAACATACAGCTGAGTGACGCGGTGCAGAGCGGCTAGTTGGTCTGGGTGCTGTGCGTTGCATACAAGAAAGCTGGAAATATGTTCTTTATGAAGGAGAGACACGAATTCATTGATATGGGGGTAGAATATCGGCTCTCCAACCAGGCTCAGCGCACAGTGACGAATCCGCATGGCTTCAGCGAATCTTTCAGCCCGAACCCCTGGTACACCGCGCATCATCTTGATCTTTTTATAATGGCCTTCCTTAGCGCCCTGAAAGATGAGCTCCGGCGGATCAACCTTCCACCGCCATGTTGTGCCGACAGGGTTTGTGCCATGCCTCCAGCAAAAGACGCACTTGTTACTGCAGGATAAGGATGGAGTTGTCTCCATACAGAGGTGCGATTTGATTCCATAAAAGGAATTCTTGTAGCAAGAACCACGTCCTCGCAGAGCCGATTTAGTCCAGCGACAGATTTTAACTCCTGAGTGCGAGCCTATTATGGTGTAGCCCTGTTTGGTCAGAGCAGCATACGTAGGAGAGGTCGTTGGTACCATTTCCTTCGGTATGGGCGGAGAGATTGGTGTTGATTTCGAGTAAGTGGTAAAATCGACTGGGAAAACGGCATCTAGTTTTGCGGATCCATCTGCACTAACCTTGATGTCCTCTAGGTCGGCAATATCACCCCGCAGAGTTTTTCGCCGCCCTGACCCGGTGTTGGATGCATGCTCATCATCTTCAACATCTTCCTCATCGCTTTCCAGGGGCTCTCCGCTGCCTGGAACACCCTCACCCAATGCACCGCCGTTGGCAGCCATATCGCACAGAACCTCTTGAACCCCCGCGCACCACTCATCCAGGGCCTTCTCACCGTCGCTTTTGACATCCCCAAGGCCAAGTGGATACGCTCTTTTCTTTCCGGTCAGCTTTGCCAACCATCGATCAACCTCCTTTGCTTGCGAGCAGAAACCTGCTTCCTCGGTGGGCCATCCCTCTCTATCTCCGAAGCCGAAAACTGTGTATCCCGCCAGTCCCGACAGCGGCGCTGTATCTATGCGGAAATCGTGGTGCGTTTCATCTAGATGGCCCAAGAACGTATTTAAAATCGTGTCAATGTTGTAAGTTGGAACTATGATACAGTAAAAGTGTAGCACGTTGAGGTTCGAGACGGGGGGCTTCGGAGGAGAGACAAAATAATCATCGAAGTCGATATATGATAGATCATGTAGCTGCGGGTCTAGTAGCCTCGAGGAGCGCCTTCCATCGCGCTGGGGCTCTCTTTGTAGCTGTTCAACGACGCGCTTCGCACTCCGTTCAGTGGACCCAGTAAGAGAGGAGAAGAATATTATCGGCTGTACTAGAGTTTCTTTGACTGTATCTAAACCGTCCACAGTCGACCTGGCCCTCTTTTTCTGCGGCCTCGTCCCAACGACTCGCTTCGGCACGGTTTTGATTTTCGTCTTCAGAGCCTCGTTGGGTGAAGTCGCTCCCTCCTCTGGCCGCGAAGTTGCGGGTGAATTGGGTTTAACAAGGCCTGGACGACGAGGGTTTTTTGCAGCAGGAGGTGGTGCAAGTGGTGGAGGAGTTTCGGTAGCTGTCTTCCTGGCGGAAATCAATCTCGAGAGTATGAAGATGGTGGGTACAAGGGCGAGAGCATAGCCTCGATATGAGTGCCAGAGTGACAGTGCTCCTAACGGTTTGGATTAGCTAGCTATAACTACACGTTCAGCCGGAAAGAGAATCAAACGCACTCTGAGCTCCAGTTGCATATGTATCATCCGCCATTTTTGCTGATGTTGCGCAGCGTCCAATGCTCGACGAACGGGCGGGATCAAATCTTCAGATCCGACGGGGATCAAATTCGCCGCCAGTCTACGAGTTTGCTTTGTTTGCTTTGTGAACCTCCCATCACCGAAACACACCTATGCAGTCAACAGAAGGGTTTGCATCAGAAGCATGAATGCGTCCTACACTGCGATTGATTCGAATATTATAGATCACTAGTGCAGAGACGCACTCTGAAGTTCCACGCTTCTCAATCATTACATTCATCATTAACTACATACAAGCTACCGAACATTGACGCTGAAGCGCTACATCAAAATATCACGAAATCCTCCCATGTGGCTTTTGTTACGCCGGCTCAGAACTAAAATGGATACGGGAAACGACGAAGCCCGGGTCTCAGTGGCGTCGCTGAAGGGCCTTGGGGGTCAATCTTCCACGGAACTCTTCCCAAAGGGCCCGCTGACTCACTGAGCTCCGCTCGACGGCATCGCGGTTCTCTTCAGCTCGGCGGAGAAGATACATCATACATTCTTCGGTTGTACCCCACACAACGTACTTGAACACTTGGTTGTCTTCCTCCTCAAGGTCCTAGAGTCGAAACGTCAGTATGCTTGTCACGAAGGATAAGGGCGAGCACAGCATCAACTTACCGGGCTTTTTTGCGTTAAACTCATGGAAAGTTCATCTGCCATTCCCATCAGCTGCGCATAGACAACATCAGCCAAAGGTAAACCTCGCTTCAGTTGCTCCTGTCGCAGCTCGCGCATCTTGAATGTGCTTTCTTTATTGTGGCTTGCAAGCACCAGTCCGATCTTTGGTCCGGCAGGGTTCTCGATGTGCCGCGTCGCCAGCATCAGCGCTGCGTTATCAAATGCTCTGTCGGTGTCGGCTTTGGTATCGTGGATTAAGTGGCGGGGGTCGCTGTGTATATATGCACCACGGACCAGCTTGACACCTAGGTTAAATTTACCTTGTTCTGCCATCTGGAGATGCGATCGCAACGTTGCCATTGATTCCTTTAAATACCTGGACGTGGCGTTGTGAGCAAAACGGGTACAAAGTAGACTGGACAGTGCGAACACAAAAGGAAGACATACATTTGATACGTGTTGTATACAACGGTTTGCCCGTCTGCGTTATATTTTTGCATCAGATCCATGGTCCAGGAGTCGATGCCCGCCTTTTGGACATAATGCTCTGCATCAAACAAGAGTTTCACTCCTTGTTGTTTTGCAGAGGTACAAATCTGTTCCAATGCATCAGCCATCAACTGATCTGGTTTTTGCCCAAGCTCCAAGGCATGCACACAACCGATACCAGCTCCGGTGTATTTCACCGCCACATAATCGCCACTCTGTGCGTACTTGATCGTCTGCAGGGTCCCTTGGAGCCACTGCGCAACATGTTCTTGGTGGAGCGCGTTAGATTCTGCTGACCCAGCTTGATACTGTGAATTCGACAGATCTACTTCTCGCGCATATGCCAAAATCACCCCCCGATATCCCATCTCTCTCAATCCTTCAACCGTTCGCCTGATTTCCGCTTCTGTTCTGCCAGCACAGAATTGGGCATAGAACATTTTGTCGACAAGGCATCTGAAGACCGGGTTGCGAGTGAAAAGTCGAACGTTTTGCCGCAGCATGTTGGAGGCGACATCCATGATGCGTGGCCGCGACATAACCGTCTGCAGCATGATGCTCCGAAGGAGGGCGGGGGCGGGCATTCTACCCAGAGCACGTTGGGGTGCTTGACCGCCTAGGGCGGCAGCATCGGGCTTGGTGGTGTCCCATGGGGTCTGGGGGAAGTTTTCTGGAGACTCTGACGGTACGTGGAAGGTCCGAACGTGATGGGAAGATCGAATTAAGAGTTGATTATTTCCATAAGTGAGTTTAGAGGCTCTACAAACTGACGATAGTCGGTAGGCCATATCTCGAAGAGAATGTGTGATGATGGTCAGAACAGGACACCACGGCGTCCCACAGCCGGGTATACATAGTCGTTGAGCTGTGGTCCGAGCTTCCACAGCTCGCCAATGGTCGCTTAATGATACCAGTGCTATTTTTGCATATCCAACATGGTCACGCCGATGATGACAAGGCAAAAAGGGAAACCGGCAGGAAAAAAAAAAAGAAAGCTGCGGATGAAGTCGCTTGCCAGCGGACTTCCCTGCAATTCTAATCGCTTGGACGCGATGGTATCCGGGCCTTTCCTGCATGTTCCGGGGCCAGCTCATGTGACTCGACAAGCTTTGGGGGACTGCCCCCAACAGGCTTAGCGTGGCTCCTGGGCGAACCACCGAGAAACTCGCCCAAGCTTTGCGAATGCCGCGATCCGCAGATGATACGAGGGCGCCGCGAGTCGCCCATCCAGTGGCTGGCACCAGCAGACGAAGCAAGAGAGCAGGAAAGGAAGGTGTGCAGTGGGAGCACACTGTGTCGACCGATAACTATCGTTCTTTTGTTGCCAGCCCAGATCAGCAACTCCCTGGTCCCCCACAGTTTTGCAGGCATCCCTCGTCCGCACGTCTTGCTTCGCCTGTGACCGGCACCCGCTGAATGGTGAGTTTTGAATCTGGCCAGAGCTTGGGAAATATGCTTAACTAAATTAGCCTTTCTGTGGCTTCCAGACACCTTCGATTCGATCAAGGGAACGCTTGAATTTCCTTCATTTGTCAAATGTGTTGGTCAGAGAGCGCTTGAGAAAAAGACCAGTGCGCGTTAGTTATGCAATATAATCTATGATCACTACTCGATCCAGCGTACGTCGTCTGGAACACACCTTATTCCCGACAAGGATGGCGAAAAAGAATGAACACTGGCGCAGTTACTAACCCCGGCTTTTCATCCGATTGCGGAGAAGGTTCATCCTAGCTCGGCACAGGTCCCCAAGCCCGATATCGAAGTGATTTCTTTGCACTGCAAAACATCGACCCAGGGGCTTACCGGCTGCCACGTTGGCATTGTATTTTTTTTCCTGGTTGATCCTACATCACAGAAGAACATGCTGGTCCTTCGCGAATCGGATATCGCCCCCATCCTTAAAGGGCTGACTCGTGACCAATGCCACCGCCTCCTCGTTGCGCTCTGGCAAGCACTGGCACGCTACTCAACACAGAACATGAGCCAACGGGCCGAGAAACTCATCCACCAACCAATGCGAGAGCAGATTGTCACCTCGAAGAACAACATTACTCTGTTCATGCCAGCCTCTGATACCAAAACCTCGACGGGTAGTAAAATTGTCACCCTCCCGGGACACGGCGGACCGCCAAAGGGCGCAATCAACATTTTCTCTCCGGAGGGGGATTTGGAGGGTTTATTAAACGCTGAGCTAATTACAGCGTTCCGAACCGCGTTGGCAAGTATGATACCGTTTCAACAATTTAGCCTGCCAGATCGTGCCAATGTCCTAGTGTTTGGGGCAGGAAAGCAAGCGGAATGGCATATTCGGCTTGCTCTGTTACTTGCAGGGGAGAAAATTACAAAAATTACAGTCGTGAATCGTGGAACTAAGGGATTAGAAAAATTAAAGAGCGATTTGGACGCAGCGCTACTCGAGGGCCCTGTGGTTGATTACCTTGGGAGGGACTCGTCCGCATTCACCACGGAGATCCTTGCCACCATTGTAGCTCAGGCCGATTGCGTTTTCTGTTGTACGCCGTCCACAGAACCACTCTTCCCTAGCTCGTGTCTTGGGGATAAACCCCAGTTCATATCCCTCATCGGCTCATATAAGCCACACATGCAGGAAGTCGACTCGACCACCCTTCTTTCTGGGGACAATACCATCTTCGTCGATTCAAAAGATGCATGTTTACATGAGGCTGGCGAAATTATCAAGGCGCGGGTATCGGAGACCCAGCTGGTGGAAATCGGGGAGCTGTTTGCACGACATGGTTCGTCTTCGAAGCTCTTTGGGTCTGGCGGGAATGTGGTCTTCAAATGTGTCGGAATGGGGATTATGGATTTGGTGATTGGGAGAGAGCTTCTCTCGCTCGCAAAAGAGACCCAAGCCGGAGTCATGATCAATGACTTCTGAATGCGGGTGAGCTTCGAAACAGATTCACGCCATAGAGCTTTCCAACTCCTGCCTCATTCTGTTGTCACTTTAGTTTGAGCAACTACATAGTAACCATATTACTATTACCAAGCCAACCACAAGTGATGTTGGCCGATCAATATTGCAACAGATCCGTACGAAGGTCGCTAGCTTATTGAGCGCAATATGCATTGTCCACCTTCCGTGTTTGATGATGGCAATGGTATTCTGGACCATCTTGGGCGGCCCTGTAGCAAATGGAGGTTGCAATCCAGCGCAACCCATTTTGCCCAAGATCGTCGCAACAAAGAATAATCCTCGACCAAACACGCACACGGGTTTGGAACACGGCAGTGGTATGCTGCTGGTCACCATCATTTGTGCAACTTGTCGTGCCTTGCCATGACGACGGCAGTATGTGGAGAGTACCTTCTTAGTTGATGCCACCAGCCTGAATAGAGAAGCCCAAACACCGCAGGCTTTCTGTGCCATCTCCAGCCTTAATCCCAGCTTCCTGTAACAAAAAGGGTATATCACTCAGGCGGAGATTCGATCTGGAAAGCCAGAATTTACCAGGTGAGGAGTATGATCATCAACAAGGCCTGAACGCTAGTCTGCTGCCCATGGACCAAGTCTCTAAAAGTGGGCGCTCCAAATAATACTCCGTAGAGTAGGTTGGTTGCAACTTTTCTCCATCTCCAGCGCAAGGGCTTCGACTCCCTGTGTCGGTTCAAACAAAGAAAAGTTCCAGGTCAACATGTCCTTCCACAATGGCTTGCGAGGCTAACAAAATTCATCATGCTGCTTTTGTAGCTGAGATGAGGAATGGGATGTCACGAAGGATAATCAAACGGCCCAGATCTCTCAGCTGCCCTCCCGTGCCATTCACGCCTTAGGAGTCAGCACCTCCCTCGCGTTCGGGGAATTGGTAGCGAGGTGAAGCATGGGACCCCTGTAATGTGGGCTTGGGGAGGATGGTCTGAATCAGCTTTTAAATTATGGAGGGTTGAGCCCCCAGTCGATGCCCGTTCGAGGTTCATTTTCGTCACACTTGCTCTTGTTGTCTCGCTGAAGACTGATTGAATATGATTCTTCATCGGGTGGGAATCTGGAGTTCAAAGGGAGGAGGGCAGGATGAGAGTATGCATGCACCAAAGGGAGCCCCCTGATCCCACACTTTCGATGTGGAGCAGGCCCATGCCTGTGCCGAGATCCAGAACGGTGGAAAGAAGCCGGCAAGCTCAAGAATAGGCGCGGAACCTGGGGGGGTGTGATTATTTTTGTTCATGGTGATGAATCTGTTTTTCGCTGCTTCAACCATCCCCCTCTTTCTTAGGCTCTTCCACTCTGCTGCATCCGGCTAGACCGGGCGCAGCTCCCCAGAATCCTGACTAAGCAGGAGGGGACTGGGCCCGGCGGCCGCAGCTGAGTCAGCGTCGATGAGGGCCTGGCGGTGGTTAAATAGCAACACTGCCGGCAGAAACTATTGGCAGATAAGATGGTTAATATACGTTCTTGCTATTAGTTATTACCCCCACAACTAGTTCGGTAACTAGTTCACTGCGCCTGACGAAGCTGTCTGGCAGACTGGCACACTGCTCTCCTGGGGTCGACATGCGGTGGCTCAATTGACCTCTCCTTTCCATTCATCATCCCCAATTTCCATTTCCATTCATGTACATGTCTTACTATCGGCGTGCTGTCTGCCCATGCTTTAGCCCATGAATTTCTTTTGCCGCCCTCCACTTTAATCTTATCCTGTCAAATCCGCTGCTTTCCTCCCTCACACTCCTGCCATGTCCACCGCGACCCAGCCGGCAAAAGTACACAAGCGGGCTTATCAGGTATGTCGATTCATTTGCTCCCCAAGCACATGTCTCCAGAATCAGATTGGGATCCCCCGGATTGTCATTGTTGGAACTAGTTGGTGACCTGTCTGTGTCCCCCGCTCGCTTTTAGGCCTGTATCCCATGCCGCGAGCGCAGAGTGCGATGCGATCTAGGTTCTGTTGACCATCCACATCAAGGCCCCTGTGGTCGCTGTCGACGAGAACGCAAATTCTGCCACTTCTCCGCTACTCGCGGGAAGAAGAAAACCTCGGCTACTCCCACCGGTTCCTCCGCGCCCGCAGATTCCGCCCAGCAGATCGGAAGGATAGTCACCATTGATGGCACTCTCGCCGCTCTTCCCGGCGTCAACGCCCTACCGCTCCCAACCCGTGGCCACAGTGATAGCGTCGGTTCTGCTGGTATTCTCCCCCCCGCCGCCAGGATCGCCGTTCCGCTCAGTCACGTGATACATACTGATCGTCTGTTCTCCGTGTTATCAGGTGGAGACAAAACGGCCGCAACTCTTCTTCGCGATGCTGCATACACGTCCCACGATGCCTTGAGTCTCTTGTGGGAGGCTGGCCGTCATAGCGAAAGGGTTGCCGGCATCCAACACGATTCCCGCCCCTCGAGGCCGAGGCCCTCCACCGACGACATTAACCGCCCGTCCGCCCCGCCAAGTAACCAGGGAAGCGCAACGAGTACCGCCCTGCAGCCTTGGTCTAACCTCCGCTTTGTGCGCACTGGCCTCTTCACTGCAGAGGAGGCTTTAGACCTCGTCAACTACTTCCACAAGTATCTAGCCCCTTTCACCCCCATTTCGTCTACCGCTTATCAAGATGCCTCGATGCACGCAAAATTGTTGGAGGAAGAACCCATTCTTGCTGTGACCATTCTTGTGCTCGCGTCTCGATACATGGAATTCTCCGGCGCGGGCGCGGTGTCGCGCTCCTTCATGGTGCATGAGCGGTTGTGGCAGCATCTACAAGGCATGATCTCTCGCATGATATTTGGCCAGGAGCAATTTACTGGCGCAACGCATGACAACGGATCTGCCATAGAAATCATCAATGGACAAAGTCCCGAGTCTGCCCTTGCTGGCTCTAGCTTTGGCAGCCTTCGAACCTTGGGAACTTGCGAAGCGTTGCTTCTTCTATCAGAGTGGCATCCACGCTCACTTCACGTCCCCGCTGGAGATGACGGGGATAGTATCATCGTGAAGGATGAAGTCCGTCGGACAAGAGCGAGCACAGCAGGTATTGGGGGCCGGATTCGGATTGATTGGCTTGAACCTGTTTGGAGATCCGATCGGATGTGCTGGTCAATGCTTGGAAATGCACTAGCACTGGCTGTGGAGCTTGGCATTTTTGACGAATATGATAATACGACGATTGGCGCTCGAGAATCTCGACGTGATATTTGGAATAACCCCCAGTCAAGCCAACGCGCGTATCTTGTGCAACATTTACTTTGGGTCTATCTAACCCAGACGTCTGGACGGCTAGGTGAGCATACGCCGACAATTGCATGGCTTTGCCGCCGCTCTTCAAATTGACTACGTATTATAGGATGGAAAAACTTAACCAACGTTTCTGTTACGGACCATGATGCAAGCGTGAAGCATGGGGATACCATCCGTTGTTGGGTGGGTGTCGCTTCGTTGATGAAGCGAGGAAACGAACTCCTATTTCCTTCCCGAGATAGAACACGTGATATTATAAAAAGCGGCGAGTATCTTTCTGTTTTACGCATGCTCAAGCCTCTTCTGCACGATTGGCAGCGCGAGTTTGACCGTGCTAAGCGTAAGCCTCAAATCCTAGCTTATGAATCTTTACATGTATGCTGATAAGCTGTGCAGTATCCAAAGCAATGAGATCAATACTTGCTATAGAATTTGGATACGTTCGGGTTTATATAAACAGTGTGGCTTTACAAGCGGTTGTGGAACACTATAATCGTTCCGCGAAAGAGGGTGGTTCAATGCCACTCTCTGCACTACTCAACCCTTACGAAGGCAACAAAGAATACTTCATGGAAGTAGTAAATGCTGCAAGGGCAATGCTTCAGCTCGTGGTCGAGGAGCTGTTACCAGAGGATCGCCTTAAACATGTCCCGGTTAGAACGTATTCGAGGATCCTTGCTGGAGCAATGTTTTGTCTCAAAGTAAGTTTTACTAACCCACAGAACAAATGTGATGTATTGTAGTTCTTACCTCTTACTGTACAGGCTTATGCCCTCGGGGCGAAGGATAGCGAAACTGCGATTTCCCTTACCCTTGTCGAGCGAACAGCAGACGCGCTTTGTACCTGTGTAGTGGACGATGTCCATCTAAGTAACCGGTTTGGGGAGTTACTTCACGCCCTGGCCTCGAGTCTTCGTAGCCGAGTTGTTACAATTCCCACAAGCGAGCCTTCAATTAGCGGCCACATCACCCCCAACAACGGCCAAGTGCCGCGTCCACAATTTGAACTCCACGAAAGCATGGCTCCGGAGGTCAAGCCGATGATATCAGAATCCTTCGAGCGATCAATGCCCCAGCAAATGCACCTTCCACATCCACTTACCAGTGGCGAATATGACCCTCGTTTTTCGACGAGCCTCACAAGCACGGCTCCGGACGCGCAAGTATACATGCCCATGAATGTAATGCCAGACCAACAAGGGTTCCAACACGACCCTTTGATCTCTTTTGCTGGGCTCGGCCCCAACCAACTGGGGTGGTCTGGTGGACAGGACTTCTTTGACATGCTTGGCCCTTTGCTCGATGTGCAATATGAGCAATACCGGTAACAGGGCATGGATCTGGCCATTTTGCCAATAAGCCCCCTACCTAGCATCACGGTTAGCACCCCTCCGGCGACCGACGGCTATCAACCGAATGAAGTTCCCCTTCTCTTGTTCTTTGGTTGAACCGAAATGTAAGCCATGACAACTCCTTGAAAGGGTATGCCTATTTTTCCTTTTTTTCGAATCCCTTCGAGATAGGCTTATATACTTTTGATCAGCAATTCGATATCGAATCCCTTTCCTAGACATTGACCATACCCTGGCTTCTAACTACCGCAATTCAAGAACAGGCGACGCCTGTTGCTCTCTTGGGGCCGTGCGTTAGAATGGCAAGCTAAGTCATTGAGGTCATTGACCACGCCGCGAATGTAACCAGCCAAGACTAGCGAAATATTCTCGACAGACAGTTCTAATATCGCACGGCTGTAGCTCCTGAAGTATGTACTCAACATTCCCAAATGTGAGCTCTCTTAAGGTAGCTTGGTTGGACTAAGTTTCGACCCGAGTTAATTCTATGCCCAGTTAGAATGCTCACTAAGGAGTTCTATCAACAAAAATATTCTTTTCTATTCAAATGGTTCCAAATTTGAGAACATAACAGCTGGTGCAGATGTATAACTTCTTTGTACATGCTTGAATTTTAATAGTCTGAGCCTCAAAGCTAGTTAGAGCACCACAAACACACTTCAACCTAGCATTCAAGACTGACCTCCCATATTTCAAATACCTCACGCAAAATCCGAGGCAGAGAAACAGTTCCACATGGTCATGGAAGAAACCACATCAGCGCAAGGGTTTAATATCTGCACTTGGTAAACAGGTACCCCTGGGAGGAAGGACTGGGCTCTGGCATCTTCGACCACGCCGACCCCGCCGCAATTCGTACTCTGCAGAACCTCGTACCCGGAATTTATATGTCAGTAAGTCAACAGGCAGAAGCTCACCGGGCAGTTGTCCTGGAAAATACTGGTAATACCTAGGAGTAACTATACTAGTTGGGTCTGGGGTTAATTAGGAACCCATAGGCCAAGGCCTAAGCTCACCAGGTTCTTAACACAAGATTGCTAGGTTGTTATTTGGTATCACCAGGCAGCTCTATCATTTATTGCTAGTTATTTCTACAGGCTACTGACATGGTTCTGATATTGTAATTTTATAAAAAAACCCAGTGATTTTATCTCAGTAGTAAGTAGCCTATGTTACTGATGACTATCAGAGGCTATTACCAGAAACTTCCATAGATTTAAAATCTCAGTGTAACTGGTGATCATTGAGAAACAACAGCACACACACACACAAGTTCCAATGTGAGTATAGAATTAACCACATAATCATGTAGTTGAACATGAAGCATGACTGCAACATTATGAATTTCATCAGCTCTATGAGAGCTATCAGAAGCATCTAGTAATCATTGATAATTGAGATGAGAAGTTTCATAGTCTTCATGAGGCATTACATATCATAACCAACGTACAGAAGATTTCTTGTAAAACTCCATATCAGAACCATGCCAGTAGCCTGTAGGAATAACTAGTAATGAATGAAGACCTGCCTGGTGATACCAAATAACAACCCAGCAACCTTGTGTTAAGAACCTGGTGAGCTTAGGCCTTGGGCTTCCCTATGGGTTCCCCAGTAGTATGTTCCAGTACAACTGCCCACTGACCTTCTGCCCGTCGACCACCAACCCGCCCACCGGTTGTAAACTTGAAAATGGAACAGCTGCATTATTTTAAAGGAGCGCTTTCATCATCGCATGCATCAAGGGAGCTACGGTCATGCCTGCTGATTAGATTACCAGGCCTGGACATCTCGTCCCTTCTAGTCAACTGGCCTCTAAATGGCTCGTTCATACTTCTAGTTCTCGAACCTCCGATCCGGGAATATGCTCGTCTGGGACGCTTCCCGACTGCCGGGCTGATCGTTGGTCTAGGGCGCTTCATGTCAGGTCTGACACCCAATCTGGCATGCTTCCTGATCACTGGTTCGATCGCTTGTCTAGGCCGCTTTATGACAGGGCTTACACCCTGTTCCGGACGCTTTGTGACCATAGCACCATGTAGCTGTTCGGGACGTTTCCCGCCTTCATCACTGGGTCTGAATTGCTGCACTTGCGGTCGTAGTAGAGCATTCTGGGTTATATCATTCCGAATTTGGTTGCGAGGAGTGGTGCGACCCACCCCGTTAAAGAGCTCGTCCAGCATATCTGCAGCCGACGCTCGCTGGTTAGGGTCAATATGTGCCATATCTCGAAGTGGGCGGAAGATCTCCTCGCTCACAGCCTCATGAACTGCCTTGATCCTCAGCTGAATTGTGTGTAACGGCTTCTCCCGGAAGCGACCCATATTCATTGCATATGTAAGTGTGACAAGGAGAGACCAGACATCCATCTTCGATGTCTGCTGCGCTCCTCGGTTATTCTCCAACTCGGGGGCAATGTAAAATCCGGATCCAGCAAATGTTCGGGCGTTGCCAATCACATTACAGAGACCAAAGTCTGTAAGCTGATAGTGATAAGAGCCATCGGGTAAAGCTGTGTAAAGGACGTTCTCAGGTTTAACATCGCGATGGATAAGGCCCTTGAATGTTAGGTAGTCGAGTGCTTGAAGCATCTGATGAAGGAGAAGGTCAGCTGAAAGTGGATCTCGCACGAAGAGATCATCAACACGAATCAGGTCCTGGACGGTTCCGTCTCTGACCCCCATAAAGATCTCGAGATAGTTGTCTTTGGGACCTTGCGCTGATATATACTCAATAATGTTCGGCTGTTATAATTAGCTGATCTGCACCCAAGGACCCTCAATGCCCTGGACATGACTCACATGAGAGATACGAGCAAGAGTTTCCACTTCCCGTTTCAATAAAATATAATTGTGCGACTGGAGGGCAGGCCACTCCACCATCTTAACTGCCAAGTGCTCGCCGGAATCGATATTTGCTACCCTCCAGACCTCGCCAAATGACCCCTTCCCAAGCTGAACTCGCAGCGTGTACCTGATCTCCGGATGTTGGTTACCTGGAGTATGGATTCGGGTAACACGTTGGGACGGAACAACAGTCGGTGTCTCATCCACCGTTCGAGCAAGGCAGGGCTTGTCTTCTCGGCAGTTGATCTGCTCTTCAATGCTGAAGTTTCGCGCATGCCAAATGAGGTGAAAATGGGCAAGATTGCAAGCGACACCACCAAATCCGAATTCCAGATTTGTTCTATTGTCCACGACGACCCGACGAGGATGCCCCAGCTTGAACGGCGTAGAACCAGTGCCGCAAACCTGGGTTGAGTGAGAGGTTGACCGGTCGTAGAGCATGATCTCCCTGGTAGTCTCATGGATCTCGAAAGAGCACTGGATTCGTGAGATGTTTGCTCCTTCAACCGTGACATCAGCACCGCGTCCGAGGGTCGCTAGTGTAGAGCGTGATTTTGACCCGATATGGAAGCCGATGTTGAGTCCATATGTAGATTGACCCTTCACTTCGGGATCCGGGACAACAGAGACAAGGTGACGGTTGTGGGGATGGTGGAGAATAGCCCAAGCCCCATCATTTTTGGGCACGATTGAAAAGAGAGCGAGAGGATGGGGCTTTGGTCGTGCCATGCTCGATGATCTTTGTTGCGATGCATGGAAGAAAGAGGATTTGGCAGGACACAGATGCTGCCATTTTCCTTCCTTTTAACCACCTGCAGTCCTTATGAGAAGGAAGGCTGGCGGTTATGATTCTGCCAGAAGGACTGGATGAGAGTTGCCCATGGCCGTCGGCGCGTATCGCAGCGAAACACCTGTGTCAGGGGCTCCAAGGAGGTCGCAGCGGCAGGAGATCTTGGGCGATTGGACAAGTGGTGCTTGAGCTTGGGGGCATTTTGGGCCATGCAGCCTTGGCTGACTAACCGCCTACATAGTTAACGAGCCCAACCGCCCGCCTTCACCTTCCGTCAACATCTTTCTGATTATTCTCGATTATCGAAGTTTTGCGAGAGCCCTCGGCCACTATCGCAGATATGGTGGTCTTCTTTAACAACCATCAACACAGCCTCGTACCACAGGTTATCGAGGTGCTCCAACAGCTAGAAGATGATCCACAACGGCTTGCCCTTGAGCGGGACCGCGAGCCTCCACCACCGTACCAATCGTCGGGGGAGACCACACAGCCTCCAACCCCCGGACCTCCAGTTATCGACGAGTATGCGCAGAGATGTAAGCGGAGAAAAGCTCATTACAGGTCCCAACCGGGAATCCAGTTCGACAGCCAGACCTACAGAGAGCACAAGCGGATTATATACCAGCTCGACAGATGTCGCTCTGGGCGAAAGCAAACACTGCCCTTTGATCAAAGCATGGATCTTCAAGCCAACGCTGAGAACAACGTTCGAAGTCGCTGGATAGAGCAGGGAATTTGGTTAGATGCTTGGGGCCCAGCTTGGCCAGAGGGCAGCGAGCCAATGACAACCCGTTGGCGTTTCAGTCGGCATCGGCCTGATCGCTTTCCTGAACCTGGCGGTCGTTGGGGCCATGAGAAGAAGCCCGAGGAACAGCCAGATTCAGCGCCGGAACCACAGGAGGATCAGCAATCTAAATATCATGGCTCAGTTTTCCTGTCTGGCGCGTCTAAGCCAGAGCAATCCAAGGCTGCCGTTGAGGACTCGGCCAGTCCTCCGCAACCCAGAGACTCTGCAGAGGCTTCTCCACGCGATCCTGAAGCTTCTCGTCCCTATTACCAGTTTCTGGCCCAAATATCTCACGAACGCGAATGGATCAAAGATGAGCTCGAGTACAAGCGCACAAGGACTTTTGATATCGATGCCATGGCTTACGAGAGCGTCAAGAAAAACTGGATTGAAGATGGGGTTTGGGATTCCGAATGGGGTGACCTGCCAGGGATGACGTGGAGACATGAATATCCGATGGAGAACGAGGCAGATGAACGCCCTTATCCCTTTGTTTCCGGCTTTGCCAGCATCAAGGATACCCAGCTGGCCCCTGCTCCCGGATTCTCCGGATACCCCCGTCTTTTTGGGCCGGGTGCTCTTGAGGGGGCGGAGTCAGGACGAAGAGAAGCGCGAGCAAGAGGCCCTTTTTGTGCCCCAGCGCTTGAGCCAGTCCATCCCGGTCAGGATAACGGGGGGGCAAAGGCACTCAATCACCCACCTGCAGATGCTAACGAGGCACAATACCCTGAACAAATTACAAATCGACGCCTTCAAGATGTAGGTTCACCTGATGAACAGAGGAATATTGAGCAAGCCCCTTCCGCTGCAGATTCCTGTGTGCAGGATCGAAGTCAGCGGTTCGTAGAATCCGCCCAGGCGTCTAATTCAGTGCGGAATGGTAAGAAAAGAATCCTCAACCACGACGAGGATAACGAATTCTGTGAAGAACGAAATTCCAAACCGCCACCATCAAAACGTCCAAGGCGCGGCCGTCGAGGCCAAACTCTCATAAACCGGGCAGCATCCGAAGCTAATGCAAATTCGGCTGGCGGACCACAAGATACTAACCCTGTCGCTCGGAAGAGCATTAGAACGACCAGGAAAACAGGCAGTGCAGGAAACGAAGCATCACAGAATAGGGCAGGGAAAGATGTCATAGTCAACACAGCTTCCCGCCGCGATGGTCCAACAGAAATGGTGGTGGATTCTCCCGCCCCTCCGGCTTTGGGGAAACCTCCGCTGCGACGCAGCGCTAGGATCGCTGCAAGAGAAAAACAATCGAGAGCCGCCATTGATAAGCCCGAACCCCCACGTCAAAAAGTCACAAAAGTCATACAAGCGCCAACAGCTCCCTTGCAGGGGCGACAGTTGAGACCCCGGACGACAAAGGTTGCAGAAGGAAACCACCCAAATCGACGCGCTGGTAGGGGCACGTCAAAGCCGAAGGGACGGATGAATACGAACAGACGCCGTCGACAATAATCAAGTGGCTAAAACGTGCAATGAGCTACAAGTGATCGAGCTTCACGCAATCTTGGCCATTTTCCAAAAGAGTGTGGAGACGCTGGCGGCTTCGTTTCTCAGCGCAAGACATCATCCGCTAACTCTCCCGGGGACCACGGAGCTCTGTGAGCCATGGAGTGGTCTATGTATGGGCTAGCGGGGAATCGAGAATAGCGATCCGGAATCTGCCCTTCTCCTTTTGTTTTCCCTACTTCTCATTCTATTTGCCTCCAGGAAAATCTGATTCCAATGACAAATTTTGGTTTGCACGGTGTTTCATTTAGCCGATAACTTCCACTGGTCCAAGTTAGCCGCCAGGGGAACGCATGTCTTTATTTTTAGATCAACCATCCTCAACTTCATCATCATCAGTCTTGTCTCTTTCTGGCTTTACAGTGTCTATGTCAGTCTCTTGGATTTGAGGCTGGGAATAATAGGAGGAGTCCTTTTTGCAAATCCTAAAAACGACATCTGAAAGCACCATCGTCCCGTACAGCTCCTATCCCGGGCACCTTGCAGTTACTGGTTTGCGCGATAGCAAAGAGCTTTCATAACAGTTTAGTTTTGTTGAAATCTATTAGAGTATTCTGGTGGAGAGGGCGGGTGATTGAAGGTATTATGAAGATGAGCTGAGGCAGGGGTGAGGACAGAGTGATGAGCCTCCCACACTAATCCGGAAGCAGAGCTGCCAGAAATGCTTTGCTTCTATGAGCCGAGTTGATATCCCACTGTCCTCCACAAATGCGCAGTTGCATTCTCCTGGTGCAGCTTGCTGCCTTTTCCATGGGCAGCCTGGAATTGTAGACACTGGATATTCAAGCTGACCTCAATGCAAAAGCATCTGAGTAGATTTATCCTACCAAAGCATTCCGCAGTAAACGGTCGTATGTCTTTTTGGAGAAGATTACCTTTTTCACATTCTCTAGAATCCCACATCTGGAGCAAAATAGGCGGCCCCGGATGCTCTGCAGGCTGAGTATATTACCATGGAAGGGTCATTTAGGCTTCAGTTTCGTCTTTCAGTCATAAACATCATCTTAAAGCCGTGATGATGCATATAAATGCCCCAATGTGCCCCCCAAATACTTCCCCGTCGATTCTCTTACCTATGTTCCACACAGGCAATAATCCGTGGAAATGAAGCAAAGCAACCTGGTCAGCTGCTCTCCTCCTCCTTATAGCCCAGGTATCTCTCACAATCACCCTCAGACAAGAGATGGACCATTGCTGCCCTGAGCGCTTTCAGACGGATTAGAAGTTTGTACAGGATCTTGTCCTTAGCCAGGCCAACGGCTTACCTGAAATAGTCCGTGTCAGTTTGGAACTGCTTCCTTCCGCTCCCGCTCCGGTTCGTCGGATGACACTTTTACAGTACCGCTGGGCTGAAGCAGTCCTTCTTCTTTTTGTATTCTTTAGCTTGATAGACTCAGTTTTAGATCTGGTGTAACGGCAAACTGGCCGAATTCCCACAAGCTGGATCTAGAGGCTGGAGCCCACTCACGCCTGAAGGCAGAATAGACTGCGTGCAGCTTCTAGCAAAAGGTTGGCAGGCTTGTTAATAAACACTTTGGTAGTCAGGGACACTTGCCTTGCGCTTGTTCCGGCCATTTCTCTTAGAATAACTGTTGCTTGAATAATCAATGGACATAATTTTTACCTACTTTCATGCAAAAAAAAAAAAAAAATCAGCTCACTCGGTGAAAATAATGATAAGTAGCAGGACCTTTAACTATCGCTGACAGTCAACGCCGGTCCCGAAACTCGGACTTGCCAACGTATTCGTATTCGGGCCGGTTTTCGGCAAAGCTGTTCCGGAAGGGCAACTAGATAACTCCATGGCATGATAGCAGTGATTTTCAAGGATGCCATCAAGATGGAATGAGTGCCGATGATGATGGTTATGATGCATACAGGGACAGCCCTGAATTGTGCATAGTCGGCCTTCAGCCTAAGGAGCAAGCGTCCAGTCGAAATGTTGCCGTCGTCGAACCGAGGCACTTGCCAGCCAGCTAGTTATTAATAGCTTTAGAATAACTGCTAGTTAATGCACTGCACAACTTCACGAAACGGAGATCATGCCCCGATGACGACATCCCCGTCTCAATGGATTGATTCCCATTTGCAAAGCTGTTGCGCACGGAGAAGGGATGGCTCAGGGAATTTCGAGGAGGATGAAGAGCTGGCTGGCAAGCAGAGAACCGCTGCTCTCGTCGCAGGCGCAATGCTGATTCTCGACAAAAGCTCTGTTCTGCCCTACCGAATTTGGGTAGTCTAAGCTCGTGCTTCAAGCTTGCGGAGCCTCAGGCCTATCCCTGGGCCTCCGCTGGAGCTCTACCAAGTTTTCGTCGGACTATCTCATTTTTCGCCTCCGAGCTGACAGAGAGAAGTAAAAAAAAAAAAGAAAAGGAAAACTGGTCAGACTCGGGGGCTGGCGCGGATGGATTTCTCATCGGGATCAACCTGCCTAGGCATTTTCGGACGCCTGGTATCGCTTTTATATTCGACACCACCCACAGCACACCTACGCTGTAATGAACCATCACCTTCCCACCTGCCACTCGTTATCAGCAGACAGACCGTTGACCTCACTGACGTGAACTAGTCACACGAGTCACCTCTTGAATCATTCTTGACTTAAAACCAGCCGCCCGTTAGCTCAACCTTGGATCAGCTGTCTTCCTATGGTCTGCAATCAACGCCTCCCAGATTTCTCTCTACTGCAACCATGAGCGAAGAGACACCGCATCCGTCCAGAATCCCCTACTGGCGCCAGGTCCTCCAGCCGGGCGCCGTGACCCAGGAGGTCGTTGATTACCCGTACCGGGGCTCCGGCACCGAAGACGATCCCTACGTCGTCGAATGGATCCCCAACGACCCGCGCAACCCCCTTTTGTTCTCGAATGCGAAAAAATGGTCGATCACCATGCTGGTCGCCATGGCCACGCTCGCCGTTGCCCTCATCTCGTCCGCGTACACCGGCGGCGCCAACCAGATCATGCAGGAGTTCAATGTGGGCACGGAGGTCATGATACTGGGCGTGTCCCTCTTCGTGCTAGGGTTTGCGATCGGCCCGCTGCTCTGGGCCCCCATGAGTGAGTTGTTGGGCCGCCAGGTCCTCTTCTGCGGCACGTACATGGCCTTGACGGCGTTCAATGCCGGCGCGGCGGGCAGCCAGAACATCTGGACGCTGATCATCCTACGATTCTTCGCCGGCTCGTTCGGGTCGTCACCCCTCACCAACGCCGGCGGTATCATCGCGGACATGTTTTCGGCTTCTCAACGGGGCTTGGCCATGGGCATGTTCTCTGTCGCGCCGTTCCTGGGGCCGGTGCTGGGGCCCATAATCGGCGGGTTCTTGGGCATGACCTCGGGCTGGCGGTGGGTCGAAGGCTTCCTGGCCATCTTCTCTGGCGCGCTCTGGATCATTGGCTCCCTGTTGGTCCCGGAAACCTATGCCCCGGTGCTCCTCCGCAAGCGTGCAAAGACCCTGTCGCGACTCTCGGGCAAGGTGTACCGCAGCCGGATCGAGATCGACCAGGGCCGCGTCACGGTCGGCGAGGCGTTCGCGACGGCGCTCAGCCGACCATGGATCCTGCTGTTCCGCGAGCCCATCGTCTTCTTGCTGTCCCTCTATATGGCTATCGTATACGGCACGCTCTACCTGCTGTTTGGCGCCTTCCCGATTGTGTACCAGCAGGTCCGCGGGTGGAATGAGGGCGTGGGCGGGCTGGCCTTCCTCGGCGTGCTCGTGGGGATGCTGATCGCGGCAGCGCTGAACATCGTCGACAATAACCGGCGCTATATCCCCGTGGCGCAGCGGCACCACGGTTTTGCGCCTCCCGAAGCGCGGTTGCCGCCGTCGATGGTCGGCGGGGTGGCCATCCCCATCGGGCTGTTCTGGTTCGCGTGGACCAACTACCCGTCCATTCACTGGCTGGCGTCGATCGCGGCGGGGGTGCCGTTTGGCTTTGGCATGGTGCTGGTGTTTCTGGGGGTCATGAACTACCTGATCGACTCGTACACGATCTACGCGGCGTCGGTCCTGGCGGCAAACTCGGTGCTGCGGTCCCTCTTCGGGGCGGCATTTCCGCTGTTCACACGGTACATGTACCGGGACCTGGGTATCCACTGGGCGTCAACGATCCCGGCGTTCCTGGCGCTCGCGTGTGTCCCGTTCCCGTTCCTCTTCTACCGGTACGGCGCGCGCATCCGCTTGCGGTGCGCGTTTGCGGCCGAGGCGGAGGCGTTTATGCGACGGCTGCAGCAATCCAGCGTTGCGCCCGCGGAAAAGGGAGGGAGGGAGGAGCAAGGAGAGAAAGGGGAGGAGGAGGAGGAGGCGTCTCGCGAATCCACGCCCGAGAGCGAACCGAGCGGACTGGACACCGCATCCGCAACCACACGCGCGGAAGACGAACGCCGCTTCGTGCTGGAGCCGATCCGGCCACTGAGCAGACCGGCGACGCGCACGCGGCGTGCGTCCTCGGTAGGGTCCAGCGAGTATGCGGGCAACCCGTACGACATTGATCGCGTCAACACGCGGACGTCGGTGGTGTCTGGGCGGCGGGGGTCGACGAAAACGCACTGAGCAGCGGATGGTAGATTTCGCGTTCTTGGATCTCTGTTTATGTTCTTGTAGATACACAATTGAGCGACAAGTTGTACAGTACGATATAATATACTCTGTAGTTTGATATCATTGACTTTTGTCCAGCAAGTCGTATCGACTGACTAAGCATTGTTAGTCAGGCACGGTCTTGGCAGACGCGGGGCAGCTGGTGGTGATTGGCTGGGTCGGCCGAGGTCCATTAGTCATCCAGGGAGTCGGCAGGCCCAGTTCGGCAGTGAGCAGCCAGGGGAAGAGAAGAGAGAGAGAGACTCTCTCTCTGCAACGGGCAGGCCAAGGGAGAAGAGCCAGTGGCGGGCGACTGGGCAACGGGCCCCGAGGTCGATCGAGCATGGGGTGCTCCCTATGATCTATCGGCCGGCACTAGCTACGGACCTGCGGAACTGCATGGGCGCTGATCAATAATGATAACCACTAGATATCATCTTGCTCTGGGCTGGGTTGCGGGTCTTTTGACTCTTTTGTCCCTGTCGCGAACCAGGCAGGCCGGCCTGCTACACGGCCCCGGGGCCAGCAAACACCACCTGCCCGCGCGCAAACATCGCCCCCCGCCTGGCGTTCAATTGCCCCCCCGCCCCGGTCGACACCCCCGCTCCCCCCCTCGACGGCTGCATTATTAATGGGCAGCCCAGCGGCAATAAAACCGCCCGCACCGTCCCCTTTCTCCCCTCACCATCTCTCTCTCTCTCTCTCTCTCATCCTCTCTCTCTATCCTCTCTTCTCATATCCTCTCTCTCTCACACACATCACAATGGCTCTCTCCCAGAAAATCCAGACCCCCTCCTGCACCTACGAGCAGCCCCTCGGCCTGTAAGTGCTCTCCGCTGCCCCTGATGCCCTTCCGCGCCTGCTGACCACACCAATCTCCCGCCAGGTTCATCAACAATGAGTTTGTCAAGGGCGTAGACGGCAAGACCTTCGAGGTTATCAACCCCCACAACGAAAAGGTCTTTGTCTCCGTGCACGAGGCCACCGAGCAGGACGTCGACCGCGCCGTCGCCGCCGCCCGCAAGGCCCTCGAGGGCGAATGGAAGACCGTCACCCCCACCGCCCGCGGCCGCATGCTGGTCCGCCTGGCCGACCTCATGGAGCAGCACTGTGACACCCTCGCCGCCATCGAGGCCCTCGACAACGGCAAGTCGCTCTCCATGGCCAAGGCCGATGTCGCCAACTCCGCCAACTGCATCCGCTACTACGGCGGCTGGGCCGACAAGATCCACGGCAAGGTCATCGACACCGACCACGAGACACTCACCTACACCCGCCACGAGCCCGTCGGCGTCTGTGGCCAGATCATCCCCTGGAACTTCCCGCTCCTGATGTGGGCCTGGAAGGTCGGCCCCGCCGTCGCTGCCGGCAACGCCGTGCTCATCAAGTCCGCTGAGCAGACCCCGCTCAGCGCCCTGTACATGGGCAACCTCGTCAAGGCCGCCGGCTTCCCCGCCGGCGTCATCAACGTCCTCTCCGGCTTCGGCCGCGTCGCCGGCGCCGCCATCTCCTCGCACATGGGCATCGACAAGGTCGCCTTCACCGGCTCCACCGCCGTCGGGCGCCAGGTCCTCCAGGCCGCCGCCAAGAGCAATCTCAAGAAGGTCACCCTCGAGCTCGGCGGCAAATCGCCCAACATCGTGTTCAACGACGCCGACATCGACAACGCCATCTCCTGGGTCAACTTTGGCATCTACTTCAACCACGGCCAGTGCTGCTGCGCCGGCAGTCGCATCCTCGTCCAGGAGGGCATCTACGACCGCTTCCTGCAGCGCTTCAAGGAGCGGGCTCAGCAGAACAAGGTCGGCGACCCCTTCCACCCCGACACCTTCCAGGGGCCCCAGGTCTCCCAGCTCCAGTTCGACCGCATCATGAGCTACATCGACCAGGGCAAGAAGGACGGCGCCACTGTCGAGGTCGGCGGCGAGCGCCACGGCACTGAGGGCTACTACATCCAGCCCACCATCTTCAGCAACGTCAACGACGAGATGAGCATCGTCAAGGAGGAGATCTTTGGGCCCGTGTGCTCGATCCAAAAGTTCAAGACCGAAGAAGAGGCCATCAAGATCGCCAATGGCACCAACTATGGTAAGGCTCGATGAGATCGCGAACATATAACTCTCTGGTGGCTGACGACGCGTGTCCTGTAGGTCTGGCGGCCGCCATCCACACCAAGGACTTGAACACGTCCATTCGCGTCTCCAACGAGCTCAAGGCAGGGTGAGTGCAGTGGCTGATCAACAACGAAAAACAAGGCGGGAGCTGACGATATTCTGTAGCACTGTCTGGGTCAACAGCTACAACATGATCTCCTACCAGGCGCCGTTTGGTGGTTTCAAGGAGTCCGGCATGGGCCGTGAGCTAGGCGGTACGTTAATCCCTTTGCATTGACACTGTAGGCTGTGGGAAGTTAACTACTGACACGCGTAACTAATCTGCAGAGTATGCGCTCAACAACTACACCGAGATCAAGACGGTCCGCATCCGTCTGGGCGACGCGATGTTTTGAGGGGTGTCTGGGCGATTTTCTTCTTGTATCTTAGCCGGCATTACATGAACAGAATGAAATAAAAGTGATACCAAACGTGACTGCAATGTAGTTGTCCAGCTGTATTTAGTTGAGTAGAGCAAAAGAGGTGTTGTTGGTGTGTGGGTGTGTGTGGTTATATCCATTCCGGGCGTGTTTTTCCCAATTAGCTGTCGTGGCGCAACGGGAGACGGGCTGCTCTAACCCGCCGTCCACCCATGCAGTTCTGCTGAGTCAGAACGCACTCGCCCGGTGCCTGGTTCGAATCCGCGAGTCGCGACCTTGTTAAAGAGGTTCTCCCGCCCTCACGCGAGTAGTCCGTGAATTGGCGGCGGCGCGCTAAGCAATGGAGGCGACCCTTGAGGGAAGCAATTCTGCAGAGACTCCTCCACTCGCGGATGGCGGCACCAGATCACACCGGCGGTGCATCGTGGGTGGGCGACGGGATCTGGCCTGTCGACTTTTTTCTCTTTTTTACTATAACTAAGTAACTAGTTAGTTAATGAACTATCAATCTGTATTCTCAATATGGTCAAGTACTATCCCTCGCTCTCCCCCGACTTCCAGGCCTGGATCCTCTCCCAGCCCGTCTTCTTCGTCGGCTCGGCCCCCTCCACCGGCCGCCACATCAACCTCTCGCCCAAAGGCCTCCCCGCCGCCTCCCTGGCGCTGCTCGGCCCCAATGAGGTGGCCTACCTCGACTCCCTGGGCTCCGGCAACGAGACCGTCAGTCACATCCGCGAGAACGGACGCTGCACCCTCATGTTCTGCTCGTTTGAAGCCTCGCCCCGCATCATGCGGTTGTTCTGCCGTGGCGAGATCATCGAGTGGAACGAGCCTGCATTCCCCGTGCTGATCAGCAGGATGGCCCTGAACGGCAACACCGCCCTGAAAGAGGGCGTGAGGGCGGTGGTGAGACTGGATGTCTTCAAGGTAACGAGGCTCTTTATAAAGCTAGTGAATGGCTGCTCTGTTCTTCGCTAATCCCCCTCCAGGTCCAAACTTCATGCGGCTACGGCGTTCCCCGTCTCGCCCTGGCCACGGACCCCGAAACCAAAGAGCCCAGGCCCTACCTCAAAGATCGAGCCACCCTCGCACAGTCAAACGCCAAGTACATCGCAAAGAACACCTTCTACTCATACCTGCGCGATAACAACTGGGAGAGTCTGGACGGCTTGCCGGGGCTCAAGGCCTCCATGGTCGACCGCGGGATGTGGATGGTCAATGCCCGCATCGCCCTGTGCAGATGGCGGAGAGAGCTGGAGCTGGGCGGCGTGATGCTGCTCTCATCGGGCCTGACTGCGGCAGTGATGTGGGCGAGTGGATGGGCCACTTTCAAAAGATAATCGGCCGCCGTGATGACCTTATGACCGTTGACGATACTTATTGACTAACGATTTCTAGTTTGATGTTTGATGAGATTTATGTGCATCGATACAGTTATATATCTTGACGGCCGTCGTAGAGTTATTTCGGCCAGGATAAACCGTGGAATTTAGGCTACTCCTCTGACATTTACAGACTCGTTCATCATCTTTCATCTCATCACCATCACTTTTGACACCGTCAAGGAAATCAGCCATTGTTCTGGCTCAGCATTTGAATTATATTGTTCAACTAGTTAGTTAACTACCTCTAGTACTTTGCAAAACCTATTGGCACCGACAGCCGAATGTTGAACTCAATTGCATCCTCCCCAAAACCGTCCAAGTTTAACACCACCCATACTTGTAACAGATGTCGCACAAATTCGCAGCATCATCATGGCTGGTGTCGGAGAATTGGCAGTAACCCCGTCGGAAAGGTCTCCAAGGCATTGTTCAACGTTGAAATGGCCGATTCTCAAATACACCCACCCGCCCTAAGATGCCGAGATAGCCTCGGACTGTGAATACCGAACAGAGATGGCCAACTTGCAATATATTGGGCCTCTCGCAGAGGAATCCTATAGCTACTGCAATGTGTGCATCCCTGCTTTTACTGCTCCTGATCGATTATCCTGACAAAAGCCATGCCATCTCAAAGCAAAAGACCAATTCGGATCGCAGGTACCATCCATCCCACCCCCATCGGAAGCGCATTACGGTAATAGCTGACTTGTTCAATAGGAGCATCCGGCTCTGCATCCGACCGCCGTCATGCAATGGCAGAGTTCGCCCGGAATTACCCCAAAGACCCTGTGGATGTCATCATCTCGGATTATATGAGTGAATACAACATGGCGGTGGCTGCGGCCCGGCGCGTCGACCAGGCGAACACAACGCCCACGGAGACCAGCGCGATCAATGGTCCGGCAGCCCCCGCGTACGAGCCTTCATTTCTGGAAGCCCTTGAGCCGGCACTGGAGGACCTGGCGAGGTATAAAATAAAGATCGCGGTCAATGCTGGTGTGACGGACACCAAGTCTTTATACGATGTGGTCGTAGAAATGGTCAGGAAAGCAGGGCTGGATCTAAAGGTGTGTACACTATTTGCACCTCACGGTTAAATACTGACCGCGTAGGTCGCATGGATCTCCGGTGACGAAGTCCTTCCTGCCATCAAAGAGGCCTTGGCCTCTGGTGAATCAACTTTCAAGAATATCTACACTGGGGAGACCTTGGACAAGTGGGCTTTCGAGCCCATCTATGCTCAGTGCTACCTCGGCGGTTTGGGAATCGCCGCCGCGTTTTCCAAAGGGGCTGATATCGTCCTCTGTGGCCGCGTTTCTGATGCTTCCCCAGTCATCGGTGCGGCCTACTGGTGGCATGGCTGGTCCAGATCTGACTTGGACAAGCTTGCAAACGCTTTTGTGGCGGGCCATCTCATCGAATGCAGCAATTATGTCTGTGGAGGTAATTTCACTGGCTTCAAGGGGCTGGAAAATGCAGGGGGAGACGGCTGGACCAATATCGGCTATCCCATTGCTGAAATTTCGGCCGAAGGGCAGGTAGTCATCACGAAACAGTCGTATTCCACCGGCGGAGCTGTCACTATTGATACCTGCTCTTCTCAACTGCTCTATGAGATCCAAGGGCCAATATATTTCAATTCAGATGTCACCGCTATCCTGTCTGATATCCATTTTGAGCAGATAGGCCTCAATCGGGTGGCCGTCAAAGGCGTCAAGGCCGCGCCCCCGCCGCCGACCACAAAAGTAGGCCTCACAGCTAGAGGAGGGTATCAAGCAGAGGTTACCTGGTTCATGGTGGGCTTGGATATTCCCGCAAAAGCAAGAATGCTTGAAGCGCAGATTCGGCGGCTGCTTGCCCCTTATTCCAAGAATTATACCCTTCTTAAATTCTCCGTTTTAGGCTCTTGCCCGGATGATCCACTGGACCAAAACAGCGCAACAGCCACGGTCCGTATCCTCGCGCAGGCCCCCCGTGCTGACCATCTTGCACCAACAAAATTCCTACGCCAAATCCTTGACAACATCATGCAAGGCTACCCTGGCGCAACATTCAACCTGGATATCCGTGCAGGTTTCCCCAAACCCGTTTTCGAATACTATGTTACTCTTCTCCCGCAATCACGCGTGCAGCACCAAGCACATCTGCCATGGCTCAACACGGTCCTCGATATCGCTCCCCCAACAGAAACCAGAATCTGGCCAGCCCGGCAACCCACACAGTCGGTAACCATAAAACCGGCCAATATCTTTACAGATTTCGGACCCACGGTTCGCGCACCACTCGGTTATATCGTGCACGCTCGCTCAGGTGACAAAGGTGCTGACGCAAACTGCGGTTTCTGGGTCCGCCACCCAGACGAGTACGTCTGGCTGCGGAGTCTCTTATCTGCCGACAAAGCGCAGGAACTCTTGGGCAAGGAATGGCGCGAGGACGGCACAATGAGTGTCGAGCGTTTTGAGCTCCCGAATCTGCGAGGAGTGCATTTTCTCTTTCGAAATTTGCTGGATAGAGGGGTTGGAGTCACCAGCACGGTGGACTTTTTGGGGAAGAATGTTGCGGAATATCTTAGGGCAAGATGGGTGGATATACCCGTGAAATTTTTGAATAGGGGGAAATTGTGATTTCGGAATTCTACTGCTCATGTTTCGTTATTTTGGACGTATATCTTTCAGGTTCTTACTGCAAATGACTGGCGCTTTAATCGCGAATCTTTCTTGTTTCGTTTCGTTAGTCCCTGCGATTCATATTATCTCCTCCGACTCCTAGTACTCGACGCCGGGATGGGTTCAAACGCATCGTCATCCTCATCATCTTCAATGTCACTAATCACAATGTTTGTTTTTGAGGCCGCACTCCGTGTTGGCCGCCTACCTGCACCGCTGGTACTACTTGTCCCGGCGATTGTTTGGCTTTGGCTAGGTTGTGAGCCACGGCTGAAATTTAGCGTTGCTTGAGACTGTTTGCCGCGCGTAGCGGCCGTGGACCGTGCAGGTGGATTGCGAGCCGACGCGGCGGTTGTTGTGGTCTTGCGGGCTCGGGAAGACGGAGCTGTAGCGGTAGCGCGAGATTTCGTGGTAGATGGTTGTCGGACGAAGAGGGAGTCGTCATCCATATCTATATCCTCATCGTCCTCGTTGAGCATGACGTGCTCTTGCTGTCTGTCGTCTGCATTGTCCTCATCATCCTCGGATACAACTTGTCGATCGCGGCCGCGGCCGCGACCACGCGTAGATGTTGTCGCTATCTTGCCCCTGGATGATGCTGTCCCTCGTGCCCTGCCACCCCTAGCTCCACGGGTCGCCGTCGCAGCAGTCCCGCGTCTCCGGTTTGTAGCGGGTACTTCATCTTCTTCCTCTTCCGCATTCGGATCTCCCTCATTATCGGAGTGTATCAATGCGCCAGGTTGATCTTCCCATGCTCCATCGAACTCACTTTCCCAACCATCGGGTCTAGGCTTGAACCGCCTCTTGCCTCCTTTTCGTTTGCCTTTGCCTTTGGAGAACAGTTCCTCTAACTGGCCACGATATTGATCCATTGCAGCCTGGAGGGTTTGGCGTGCGCCTTCCTCGTCGTAGTCACTCCCCTCTTCGGCGTCCCGATCTAGGTTCATCAAGTGCTTAATTTGGCTTTCCAGCGATTCATTGAGAAACATTTCCATGGCATGTTTGTCATCTTTGTCGATGAACTGGGACACTGCGTCTCCAAAAGAATTCTGTGGGAGAATGGTGAGAGACTGTGCAGTTAGGAATTCGCGGACGAGCCGTTCGACTTTGACGGTGTCCAACGAGGCGAGGTGAGATACTACTGTCTCGTCAGGTGCGTTTGCGTCACCCCGAGTGAGCGTTGTAGCCTTCTTTTTGCGATGAAATTGAATCACATCGTTCACATTCGCGACTTTACCCACAAACCGGTTGGAGAAACGCTGCGGGTTTTCACAGTCAAAGCTTCCTCCCTCCGGAATGGACGTGTCCACACGAAGCCTAACCAATGGCAATGGTATCTCCGAGTCTTCACCGTTGAAACCGTCCTGAGATTCGAGCCAGTCATTTTTCGCTTCCTCTATAAGTTCATCCACGAGAGTCATCAAAAAGCGGGTGACTTCTGTTCGGTTGTTTTCTTTCCTTGCTAGCTTCTGAGCTTCTTTCTCTTCGTAGAGCACAATGTCTTTCATTACAAACGGGCGGACCGTTTTCAGACGAATAGGTTCAGATTTGAATTCGCGGCCGGTGATGCTCAGGATCGTCACATGCTTTGTCACTGCTTCGCCAGCCACCAAGGACGTGGCAACGGAAGATCCTGGTTGTATAACATGGAAATTGGTCTCTGGGTTGAGACGCGGTTCTATCAGACATTCATGCTCGTGACCCCATATAACCATGTCCATAAAGTCGGGCAAAAAGGTTTCTGGGAGGTATCCGGTCTCTGTGCGCGAGTGGTGATTCTGGTGCACGCTCAGAAGATTGAACCAGTCACTCTGTTGCATCGAAGGCCGGAAGAATTTCACCTTGCCGTCTCGAAAAGTTCGAAAGAGCCGCTCATCCCGTACGTTACTCAATCCGTAAAGGGCTAGTTTCGTCCGGCCTTTCTGTAGGAGGACAGGTTTGACCTGGACATTATCGGACTCTGGAGTGCGGCCGTAATAGTTGAGCAGTCCCGACACCTGCAGGATGTCCAAGGCCGCCAAATGGCCTTCTCCTGATGGGTCATCGTGGTTTCCATGGATCGAAAATACTGGTATGGCGACATTGATATCCAAATCCTCATAGTTTACATGGTTAAAGGCTCCCTGGAAATTCTCGCTCGCATCGCTTAGAATCTCTAGCTCACATGGCTTGTCGCCGTAGCAATTCATACGCAAAGAGCGCATAACCTGATACATTGACTTTCGCGAAGGCTTGTTCTCGTGGAATAGGTCGCCTGCGAGTAAAACCATGTCAACGTCGCGCTCCTTTGCGAGGCACATGACCTCATGGAAGGTCGTCCACGAGTCATCCCCGCGGATTGGGTCGCGTTCGTTGTATCCAACATGATTGTCGGTTGAGACGAGAATCCGTATGGTATCAGCTTCTGCGGGGAGTCAGCGGCCACTCTGGGCATCGCGGGACCGTTAGGCGTACCTCCAAGAGACATGATGAAAGGTTGAAGGTTTACAGAGTATAAAACGTCAAATCATAGGTATACACAGGGGAATGCGAACCCGTGGGCTTGAACAGCCTTCAATCACGGGAGACGCGACCGTGGACAGGATGATAGACGTGGCTTGTCACAGACGAGATAGCTGGCTGTGAAAACAGAGATAAAATATAGCTAGTTAGATAGAGAGTCCATGTCCCCGGAAACTACACAGCAGCCACCTCTCCCCGTCGCCGCTGAGACGTGCAGGAGAATCAAAAAAGTCGCAGGCAGCAAAACGCCAACTCACGTGACCGGCCTTCCGCTTCCAGTTCTCGCAACGTCGACTCATTCTCGCTTCTCGTCTTCTTCTCTTCTTCTGCTCAACGACAGCAACCTCAAGGCCTTCGTCCCAGCCCCAAACCCGGTATTCCGTGCTTTTGACTGACCCAGAACGCTACTGGCTCAGTCGATCCCGCTTTCGCGCCCATTCTTCTCTTATTCTTTTATGCAACCAGAGGTTGACCAGTCCATCAGCAACCACGAATCCGAGCACCCGTCCCGCAACACCGACACTTCCCCTGCCCAGCATGGAAACTTTCCGTCTCAGCAGTCTATCCCCCGCGACCTTTGCCATGGGAATGGCGGGGCCCGGGAGGATTTCGCCGACAGGCTCTGTGACGCGTCTTCTGCCGCTGTTGCCGGCGCGACTGGTGTCCCGGCAGGGAATTCAATAAATCCAGCCAACTGCGAGAGATCGAACTCTCCGGGGGAGCGCATCAGCGAGTATGAAAACGCTTACGCCTTGTCACCAAAAATCGTCGAAGAGTTGGGCTTCAAAGTGACTCCACCTCGCCCTAATGCGCCGCCGCGAGTCTCAATAGAGGACTTTCCAAATGGTGCAGTGTCTCTTACGGAGGATGATCTACTTGCATTCAAACTGACCCAACCACAGAAGTATTAACCCATATCCTGTCGCATTTACCCGCGGCCTCACTTTCGTCGATGAATCTCGTCAACCGACGGTTCCACGGTCTCGTAACCACCCCCCATGCGTGGAGAATGGCCTTTTCGCGTTACTTTCTAGGCCCTGCTGCGATTGAAGCTGAGAGAAACAAGCTTGATTCTGACGAGTTTGATCATCTTATGTTGAAGAAACGCGCATTTTGTCGACTGACGACCTTCGCATCTTGGAGAAATGAATATATTTTGAGGACTCGGCTGTTGAGATCGTTGGCTAGAGGCAAACCAGCAGAATACCAATCTACTGGCCTGCAAGGGTCGCCACGCACCGGTCCCATTGCTTCTCAAGCCGTGGTGACTTACAATTCCCTTTTACTATACCCAGTCACCCACATAGACGGCGCGTTTGGCTCCGGTCTGGAAAAGAAGCGGGCCGTATTTATTCATGGTGCAAGTGAGCAAGGGATTGCTTCTGCAAGCGATCCCGCAACAGGAAAGTCGGGCCTCGGTGCTTGGGGCATTTCAGATCCGCAAATGTTCAACCATTTCGCAGATTCATTCGCTGGTGAAACACAATGGGGCCTTGGTCTCGGTGAACTAGTAGGCCACCCAAATGTGATGGATGTAAGCCAACAATATGGCTTGATATACGGCGAAGGTTGTCCTCGTGGCCGCGCCTATTTCCTGTCCTCTAGCGAGAAACGAGGTCGGTTCATGGCTCTGGCAGATGGACCCGCGCAGCCTCAACTTGGGATTCCTAGACTATCTACGATGAATGCCAGTATATGCTCTGTTTGGATCGCAAAATCGCCTCAGATTTTGACAACTACAAATGGACTTTGTGGTATGTTAGTGGGAACTTCAGGTGGCGTGCTCACTGCCTATGCCATCGGCCCCAATCACTCGCAAAATCAACGCTATGAGCGTGGCCAGATAACAGCTAGATGGGTCCTATGTCCCGGAATCCCAATAGTTGCCATTCGCATCGACGACAATTTCTCCACCAAACGACACGCGCATCGCCGTATTTGGGCTGTTATTCTCAATGCACTTGGTGAAGTGTTCTACCTTGTGGATATCCCTTTTGAACGGGAGATGAACCCCAAACCCACGCCTGAACAGCTTAATCGATCGGCGTGGCAAACGGGCAGAACCGTTCGCTGGGAACTTGTTGAAGCAACGAGACGCGTCGCGAAAGCAGACCCATTTCACAGTATGGCCGTTGATGGTAGCTATACTCCAAGAACCTCTAGCGACTCCATGTGTCTCAGCCAGGCCCAGTTGGTTGCTGAGACCGCTGAAGTGGAGAAATACTTGGCTTTCAAGCCCAACCATTTCAGAAAGCTTTGCGCAGGCTGGGACATGCAGCGAAAACTGGAAGTAGACTTTGCCGGTGACGACGAACATGGTGCTGGGGAATCTATCACTGTAATCACGCGGGGCGTTACGGTTGGGCAAGCGGCATCGTTAAAACGATTTACGCGGCTCAAATTTAGCACTGCTGCACCTTCTGTACAAGTTGAGACGATCCCACGTGTGAAGTCCGCCGCAAGTCTTCCATCAGTTTTTGGTAATTCACAGCCCCTGCCATGTGTCGGCAAGGGCGACATGCCAGCATTGTGCGATTGCAGCGGGTCCCAATGCACACTTGCAACAATTGCTTGGACGGAATCAGCCCTGAAGGCTGATTTGCCGAAGCTGGCCCAAATAACGACGACTGCCATGGATATGTCGGCCGTTGCCCAGTTGACTGTGTCCGAAGACCCACTTCTCAGCATTTGCGGTAGCTCCGAATCGTCCGAATTCTCTACTCCCGTATCAAGTTTCAATGAACCGTCGGACCCTGCGCAGATTCCTGGTCATCGGGCCCGTTTTCTGGCCGTTGGCACGTCTACTGGTACTGTCATTGTTTGGGATATCCGAGCTCCTGTTTCCCAAAATACTGAAGTTATCAACCATGTTGACCCAATTCGAGTCATCAACACGGACTCGCCTCAAGTTTCCAGCTTAGGATTGACCTCACTCTACTTGGTCCATGGTGGCAATGATGGATTGGTCCAAGCGTGGGATGCTTTGGGCTCATCGCTCCAGCCGATTCGCACAATCAATTCAAGGTTTTCCTCCCGGGCACGCCGTCGTCTTCAGCAAGCAGAGACATCTGTACAAGGAGTTGGCCACAATTACTTTGCCGCAGGAGCCATTTGCCTTGATCCCGATCCAACGCGCCTTAGAGGTATCGTGTCTCTTGGGACTCAATTACGTTACTGGTCATACAGCTCTTCTGCGGCCGATCAGTACAGAAGCAATAAGCGCCGTCTACGGTATAAACAGCGTGGGAATAACCGTTCTCCAGAGGCCGAGCGATACTCACACACCGGTCGCGGTGCGTTGAAAGATTATATCATGAATGAGCAGCTTGAGCTACAGCGACAGAAGAAAGAGAAGGAGAAGAATAGAAGGCATCTCAGTGGTAGATTCGGAGTTGACTTGCTTGGCCCAGATGCAAGCGAAGAGCAGCTTCTCGCCTACGCTTGCATGCTCAGTGAAGAATCATATACTAGTGACGAAAGAACCAGGCGGGAAAGTGGAAGCAGCGGAGGGACGAACTCTTCAGGGGGCACGGTCGCCCCGTTAAGCTTGGTTAATGCGGGCGGGGAGTCTTCCTCGTTTACGACATTGAATCATGCATCAAACGATGAGTCTCAAATTCTTCAACCGCTGAGCGAAGAATTGGAGCCCGATGTTGCAGAGGCCATTCGTCGAAGCCTGGAAGACGTATCCATGTCCTCATCGACACCTACACCTTCACAAGATGACAATTCGCAGCTTCTCGCCACTGACCCTGGTGAAAGGCCGTTTGAATTCGGAGCGGAAAGCAGCGCCAGCCAACAAGAGGTTGACGATTTCGAACTCGCACTTCAACTTAGCCTTGTAGAGCAAGAAAGTCAAGGACTGGGCGAACCTAGCCCAACAACAGGCAGCTTGACACCCGAAGACCTTCTGGAGGACTTTCCAAGCCTAGACAACGCGGCAACAAGTTCACGGTCTCCGCGTCGAGGAACAGGCAAGGGGAAAGGGAAACGAAAGGCGTAGTGTTTCCTTTGCCTTTTCGGTCTACCACAGATCAAGGGTATGCAGGCAGGATGATTGTTTAAAACGGTGGTAAAAAAGAATACAAGGAAGAATAATGTTTTTGGTAGAATTTTCTATATGCTTTTCATTTGATGTTATTCATAGTTGAGGAATTCACTGGTTTAATTTTGCAAGCTGTGGACAATATGTAATGCGAGATAGGTATAGAGCTCCGGATTGTATACACGACACCTGCTATAAAACATGCTCCAAGGCTGCCGCCTCGGGAGAAGGCGACGAGAATATGTACAGATGAAGACCTAGACGAAAAGGCAAACCCCAGTTCAAGCTATCATGTTCCCTCACGCGAGACGATCCTCCATCAGCGTCACTAGGCTAGGAGAGAAAATGCAGCGGCCATTGCAGCAAGAACAGGGGCAAGGCCAGCCATGACCGACTTGGCCGCAGCGCCCGTCGGCTTAGGCGCTCCAGAGCCCGAAGACCGGCCGGACGTGTTTTCGCCGGGGGAGTTGGACTGGCCGTCCTCCAAGATCTTCAGTTCCAGGCCAGAGATGGGGTTCCCCTCCTTGTCAAACACCTTTGTTCCGACCTTGGTCTTCTTGACTTCGACCAGTTTCCCTCTCTTCGCGCCAGGAACACCCCTTTCGAGGAGATTCTCGGCGTCCTCGGGGAAGTCAGGGATGTCGAAGTCGTTTAGGAAACCACTGGATTTGATGAGGCTGGAGCTGCATCGGGGCGGCGTGATGGAAGTGGTGCTGGGATCAATGTTCTGGAGACGCTGAATGTCCAGTTTGCTATACTGTTCCATCAGGTTGTCATAATCAACGAGGAGTTTGGCACTCTTGTCACTCTCGAGGGTGACCAGGCCATATTCGTTGGCTTCCATGGAGTATTCGTAGACGAGGCCGCCGCACATGGCCTCGGTCATTTCCTTGCCGTAGATAGCCTGGACCTCAGAGAAAACGCGCGGCTTGACCTCGTTGCATCCGTACTCGGAGAAGAAGATGGGCAAAGAGGTTTTGGAGAACATGGAGACCAGCTTGTCATAGCCACTGGACTGATAGGTCGCGTCGCCGCACCAGGAGTAGGAGTTGAGGCCGAAGAAGTCGGAGTGGCCGTCATCGCCCTGGTCGCAGGAAACGTACTTCCAGGTGTCCTCCAAGATGCTGCGGACATCGGCGGCGGAATAGCCGACGGGGATCTTGCGCGATGCGTGCTTGGCGATGTACTTTTTCAGGTCGCGCTGGACAGCCTACGCACGGTTAAACGGGGTGGCCATCGGTCAGTGAGGGATGGGCGGGAGCTTACCCGAATGTAGGCGGGGACGTCCTTGTGGGAGTCCTCGTTGATGATCTCGTTGGCGCCGAAGAAGCCGAGGAGGTTGGGATAGTCCTTGAAGGCCTCTACCATGGAGAAGATGTGCTTGACGTATCCCTTGTGGTAGGTCGAGGCAGGGTCTGCTCGGTTGATGTGTTCTCCGTAGTCGGGGGTGTTGACATCGAGGAGGAGGTAGATTCCGGCGGCGTTGAAGATGGACACGCATTCATCGTGGTTGATCTTGGGGCTGATGTTGTAGATGCGGACGGTATTGACCTGGAGACCTGCGAGTGAGCCCTGGACGGTGGCGGGAGATGGAGCTGGACTGGACTTACACCGAGCCGCTGAAGCAGCGTGGCATCGCGAAGGCAGATTTCGGGGTCGCTCAGGGGGTCGTCGCCGTCCTTGGGCTTGTAGCCGGACGAGCCACCGGGCTGATAGCTACATAGCAAGGGAGAAAAGGTTTTCGAATCAGCGGAACGGCCCAGCGGCAGCAGAGGCAAAACGATATGGAGCTGCTTACTCAACGCCGATGATCTGGAAGCGATCGCCCGTCTTGCTGTTGACAAACTGCGAGCCCTTGACCTCGATGGGACTGACGGCGGCGACGGCGGACACGAGGCCGAAGACGGCGGCAAGGCACTGGGGGTTTGGTCTGTAGTCAGTATCGTGAAGCAGCAGACGCATTCAAGCAGGATGTCACGCACGATGTGCTTCATCACGAGAATCGCAGTCGATGGCCGGGTTGAGGATAGCGAGCGACGGGAGGACGAGTGCTGTTCAAGCAGCAGAAACGAAGGAAGCAGCGGGTCAAAAGAGCGACGAGAGTTGATTCAGAGAGAGAGAGAGTGAAGATGAAGAGAAAAAGAGTGACTGAAACAAATAGCGAAACAAATAAATAGTTAACTAAATAGTTGCGATGCTCCCCTGAAGATATAAAGAAACACTTTTAATTTCTCGCACCGCGGCATCCCGGACAGCAAATGCATTTTCTACAGTGGAAACACAGCCACGTCCAGCTCTGCTCCCAACTACCAAATGGACTAGAATACAGTAATGGAATAAAATCGTACAATCAACGACAAAGATTTGGAGATTTCACCGATCCACCGCCTACTCGACATTCTGGCTGTCCATCCCCGCGTCGCTGGCGGCGGAGCCCAGCTTCAGCGACGAGTCCAGCGCAATCATCTCGGCGAGGATCTCGATGACATCCTTGGGCACCGTGCGGTCGTAGATGGCGATCAGGTCCTTGGGCTGCGGGTAGACCTTGAGCGCCTTGTAGAATGCCAGCGCGGCGTCGACGTTGCTCGAGCCTGTGCTGTTAGAAGAAAAAGAAGAAGAAGAAGCAGATGCGGGACGCCTACCGTCTGCGCACAGCGCCTCGCCCTTTGCGACCTGGCTCATGAAGAAGCCCTCGCGGCCTTCAATGTCGGCCGGGAAGCCCTCCTCCTGGGCCTGCTGCACCGCCAGCTTGATCGCGTCCTTTTGTTTGGCGCCCTCGGCCTCGGATTCCTGGCGAACCGCGCGGGCGAGTCGTCGGTTGTCCCGCTTCAGCGAGCGGCGGAACTCTGGATCGGACTGTCGTTTGTAGTCAAAGTAGATGGCGTAGGCTAGCAGCACACATTCTCAGCGTCTCAGCGAAAATCGCAGGGGGAGAGGGACAGCCATACCCACGAGGCCCGTCAGAAGCGTGCCGGCCGAAGCGGCGACGACGGTGCTGGTCCTCATCATCGATGCGTAGAGGAAAAAGTCGACCTTGCTGCCGGCTCTGGCTCCGGGTCTGAGTTTTCAGCAGCAGCAGGCGGTGGTGCGGTGGACGAGGAGAACAAGAAAGCGAGAGATGGACTCGATGGAGGATGGATGCAGCTCTAAGAAGACAATCCAGACGAAGAGCAGCGCAGCCAGAAGCAGAGCAGGTTGTTTGGGTGCGAGGCAGAGTCGATGGTGTTGAAGCTGCAGCTGTGGATTTTTTGTTGGTTTGAACTCAACCAGATGGAACTGACACTCGAACCATCTCATAGTTAACTGCGCATCAACACTCTACATCTCTCCAACCATCCTCTCTCTCACATCTCGATAAACACCACAAATGGACGTCCGCGGCCTCACCCTTCGCAGCAAATCCCGCCGTCCCCAGATCAGCGCCCCAAAGCCCATCGCCGACCCCAATTCCGGCTCCAGCAAGGCCCCCGGGCTGCCCGCTGCCACCCCTCGCCCGCAGCGCAATGGCGGCACCACCTCTGACCTCGTCAAGCGCCGCTACTCGGCCAAGTTCAACCAGCTGCCCGACTTTGCCGTGGGCGAAGCTCCCCCCGTCCCCGGCCTGCCGCCCGCCCTGCAGTCCGCGAAGAGCAGCCAGGAGCACGTCAACGACCGCCCGTCCACCGCCGCTTCGTCGCAGCCCCTGCGCGTCGAGCTAAAGGCCCTCAAGGACCCGGGTCTGCAGGTGGAGACCTGTATGGATATATATATCCGTGTTGTAGCCCTTTGCTAACACTGTCGTAGATGTCGCCAGCCTGCTCGCAAACGCCTCCGAGCAGGACATCCGGGACTATCAGACCAGCCTGCGCAAGCTCAAGAACCGCACCTCCGCCGACCTCCAGCAGAATGTCTACCAGAACCGCACCCAGTTCATCAAGATCAGCAAGGAGGCCGAGAAGCTCAAGGACGAGATGACCACCCTCCGCGGCCTCATGTCCGAGCTGACCACCGCCCTCGGTCAAGCAAGCGCCACCAGCGGTTCAAACGGTGCCCTCGACGAGCTGGCGGCCGGCAGGCGCCGCGCAAACCGGAGCTCCGTCGCCAATCTGGAGAGCATGTGGAACACCCAGCTGCAGACCCTCTGGAAGACCGTCGAGAGGTCGCAAAAGTTCCTCCCTGCAATTCCCGGCCGCCACATCGTCCTCGAATCCGGCCACTGGATCGAACTCGACTCGGCGACGTGGAAGCCCCGGCGGCCCGTCCACATCGTCTTGCTCAACGACCATCTGCTCATCGCCGCGAAGAAACGAAAGCGTGTCGACCCAAACACCCAGAGCAACAGCAAAGCCCCCGCTCCCACAAAATTGGTGGCTGAAGAATGCTGGCCCCTCCAGGACATCGATCTCATCGACCTGGGCGCCAACATCGACGGCGAGTCACTCGACGAGGCCGGGGAACGCGCCGTTCCCAATGCAGTCAATATCCGGTTCGGTCCCAAATCCTTCACCTACCGTACCGACCAACGCAACGTCAGAGCCAAAACCGATCTTGTGATGACGTTCAGGAAGACGATCGAAGAACTCCGCAAAGGCCTGCGCACCGAGGCCGAGGCTGCGGCGGCCAAGTCAAGTGAGCTGCTGGGCGGCCGGCAATCGCTCTCCAGGCGCTCTGAAATGTTTGACTCCGACTCCCGTGACAAGCTCGACATCCTCATCGACGTCGACGGAAAACAGCAAAACATGAAATGGGTGGATGGCCAGCTCGACGAGTTGGATATCAACATCGCCCTCCAGCTGTTCGAGGAAGCCGTCGCGCGAGTCGAGAAATTACGCAAGCTCGCAAAATCACTGCGAGCAAACCCCACGGCACAGGAGGTGATCAATTCGAAAATCGACCTGCGCGCGGGCAAACTTGCAGAGGTCCTTCTTCGCGCCCTGGTCGATACCCATTCGTTCCTCAATGCCACGAAAATGAACGTCAGCTGGCTGACTCGACTTGGATTCGATGATCGCGCCCGGGAAGCGTATCTGCGCGCAAGAACCGAAGTAATGACCAAACGCGCAAGGTAGATATCTGTTTTCTGGCCATTTCCTTGTCCGTATAGCCCACTAACCCTGATCGTAGACACTGTGTGTTCGAAGGCGACCTCCCCCTCTACATCTTCCAAGTCTCTTTCATCTATTTCACCGTAATCAAAAACACCATCGGGATCTTCCAGCAGTGCTTCCCGTCCAACGTGACCAGCGCCTGTATTAAATGGGCGAAAGAGCACCTGGATGAGTTCAACGCGACCCTCTCGAGGCAGCTGAGCAGCGTTGAACCCGACACCCAGATCTGGGTCCGCTGCATGGAGATCGTGCACGACCACGCTGCTGCGTTGGCGGAAGTTGGAGTTGATTTCAGGAACCTGATTCAACTGGACGGGAATAACCACAACGGTCATACGGGGCATTATGTTGTGGAAGGACAGGGCGCCAGAATCTGACATGATGATATTATCCTCTTTCCCTCCCGGTTTGTTACTCGATCCCTTGCTATGATTCCCCCTCGGTTCCGATTATCGTCCCTTTCTTGACTCCTTGCATATATCTCGTTTTTCTTGTTATTTTCTACGTGTAAACAGAGATCTTGTGCATATCTATTACTTGGTATCTTACATTCACCTAGCTCCATGCTTTCTTACCGTAGTATGTCTACGCCAAAGTAGTTGAAGATGTACTCCAGATCCTTTCCCAAACCTCATTCGATGCGAGGCATTGGTTCTCTTTCAGCATCCCCATTCTCAAATTTAGATCACCGCCTGCTTGACTCGGCAACACCATCCAGTGCGACACAATGTCCGGCACTTCCTCCTTGACATGGCTGATGACAATCAGCGTTTGCTCCTCACTGAGCCCTGTGTGCCTGATTTCATGCTCAGAACCGTCAGCTGGTAAATGCCACAAGTCACACCCCTTCACCCTTCGCGACCCACTGCTCGCGGCTGTTGTCTCTCCGACTTCAAGAAAATGCAAGCATTTATCTCTCAGCGAAGGCGACATGCCGGCGAACGGTTCATCGAGGACGACGAGCTCCGGCTTGTGAACCACCGCGCGAAGGAAAAGCAAAAGGCGTTGCTGCGCCATGCTAAGGCTGCTAAAGCTCGTCGATGTCGTCCATCCCATGTTGCGAGCTCGTGCCGACCGAGGCATGAAATCCGGGTTTAAATCTGCTTCGAAAAACTTCAGCGCAGAATCAACATCGCGGTCCCGCTCCTGATCCAGCTGAGGCTTCGCCAGAAACGTATCCGCCCATGCGCTTTCAAGCGACGCGCGAATCGATAGACGCCGCGGGAAGAAAGCGTGGATTTCAGGGGACGAATGGCCGATTCTCTTCTGCAGGTCAAAAACCGATATACCCGCCTTCCCGGGCTCCGGTAATCTCGAGCGGCCAAAGAATTTGATCGGAAGTGCGTATGCTTGCGGGTGATCCGATGTAATCAATGAGACGAGCGTGGTCTTCCCAGAGCCATTGAGGCCAAAGACGCCCCATCTCTGGCCACGCCGGACAGTCCAGTGGAAGCCCGGCTTGGTCTGGCCGTTGACGGACTGCCGCCAGTCGCCCAGGACCACCTTGTCACCGTAGCTCACTCGAACGCCGTCCATTTCAATAATGGGCTCGCCGTACGATGCTGGTCTCGTAGAAACTTTCGATTCCTCTGCTTTTGCAGCGACCAGGCCGAAATCGTTGAGGATGCTCAGGCTGGGCTCGAACAAGCCATTGGCACGCAGCGATTCCGCATGGTCGTATATCGCCTGCTCTGTAGACGTGAGGCCCTTGTAGAACGTATCTTCCTGTGGGCTACGCGGCAATAATGCCACCTTTCCATGCTCAGGTGTAGAGCTTGTTGCCCGATCCGAAACAGCCCTCCAGATGTGCAATTGCCGGTAAACTTCTGACCGTACACCCTGGAGAGCCACGGTGTCTTCGTCTCCCAGGATAACCAGGTGAGTAATCCACGCAGGCACCGGGTCCTGCGGCCTCAAAGTCATAATAATCCGCGGATTGCTTGCCGCCGCCAGGTTGTATAACAATGGCGAGAGACTCTGGACCGTTGGCGGATCCAATCCCACTGGCAAAGGCCTCTCAGCAACTCCCCGTCGTCAATCCAGAGCACCGGAGCACTTACTAAACGGTTCGTCCAGGAGTAGCAGCTCAGGCCCATCCAACAGTGCTTTTGCAATCCTCGCTCGCCTCGTCTGGCCATTACTCAAGTTCGCGACGGGCATATCAACCAACGCCTCGAGCTTCAGATCGTGGATAACACGGTCCAAAACATCTTGGTCGACCTTGCTCCCCTCGTCCAGCGGGTTCAACTCCGTTTCACCTCTCAAGTACTGCAAAACGGTAAAATCGGTCTCCTCCCTCAGACTCTCATACCTGGCACTCAGATACGCCCCTCGCACTCCGCCAGACGCCCGCTTCGCATCGCCGTTGAACCCAACATGCTTGATTGCAAAGCCGGGGAATCGCAGGCGGTGATCCTTGCCGTCAATTTCTTCCGTGGCGAGGTATGGGTAGGACCTCGCAGCCGGAGGGATGCATATATATCGTCCTCTGAGGACGTCCAGAAACTTGGCTTTGCCCGACGAGCCGACTATGGCCCAGTGCTGGAGCTCCTTGGGCGACGAAGCTTTGGAGGGGAGAATGAAGGAGAGGTCTGGGTAGATGGGTAGATTGCCTTTTTGCGGCAGCTCGGGCGTGGGATACTCCCGGTAGAACGTTGCGCGTGTGATTTGAACGAGCGGCGGCGCGGAGACTGAATGCGAGAAGCGACAGGGGAACAGGGGTGGGCGAATGGCCCGCCAGCAGCGGACAGTGTGTATCCTGCGCATTTCGGTGGTGATATGAGGACATCGAGACAGCATCCAGAGTGTCATTCTCTGCGATTCTCTGCCTCGGCATCGGACTTGTGAAACTACAGCCAGAGACGGCCTTTGGGATGTTTAACTGGTTACAGAAACAAAAGGGATCACGCAGAGAAATCGGGCTTGTATTATTATATGGTACACATGTTCTCTAATATACAAAAGTCATCATCTTCACATCATCAACGCTGGCCGGAAGCAGAAAACAAGACAGAAAAAGAACTGAAACGCCACACGCAAAACATGCTAGACACACAACACACCATAAACACCACCCATGCTCTAAAGACATACAAGTCCATTCCTAAACATCACGGAATCCTTGATTATATATGGAACTCATTACGCATGTGGTTCCTGCTATATCTCTATGTATACAGAACAGAAAAGCAACGCAACTTTTGGTATAAACAGAAAAAAAAGACAGGACAAAGGCTTTTCAAGGAACAGGATACTGCGATCATAAACTCGTGCTGTGCGCCACATAACCGGCCGCCATCATCTGCATCGCCTGGTACTGAAGGCCTCAGGGTGCCATCACCAAAGCCAACAACGCCATGCGACAGTAGAGGCCGTATCTCATCTGCATCAAACCAATTAGCAAAAGCTCTAACAAGACAGTACAACGATCCGCGCTTTCAACTCACCTGTCTGAAATACGTAGCCCGCTGATCAAAGTCCACCTCTTCACCGACCTCCGCGTTCCTGGGCAGCGGATGCATCACAATCATCTGGCTCTTTGCATGTTTGAGCACCGAGTTGTCGACAATGAAACTGTCCTTGAGCCGCTCGTACTCCTTCAGATCCTCAAAGCGCTCCTTCTGCACCCGAGTGCAATAGAGGACATCAGAGCGGGCAACAGCCTCGGGAGTCAGCTCGCTGGTTTCGAGGACTAGCTGGCCAGACGTGACGAGGTGCTGACGAACGTCTTCTGGCAGAGCAAGAGCCTTGGGAGATACCAGCTGCACGCGGACCTCGTAGAACTGGAGGAGCTTGATCAACGAATGTACGGTGCGGCCATGGCGAAGATCGCCGATAAAAGTAACCGTGATGCCGCTGACCGTTCCAAGTTCCTCACGGATAGTAAAGAGGTCGAGGAAGGCCTGAGTAGGATGTTCCATGCTTCCATTGCCACCATTGATAATAGGGACTGGAGAGAATTTGGCTGCGGTGGCAGCGCTGCTCTCAAGTGGATGGCGAAGGACGATCGCATCAGCGTAAGAAGCAAGCGTGCGAATCGTATCCTGAAGCGACTCGCCCTTCTGGGTCGATGAATGCTCAGTAGCAACGGCAACCGTGCGGCCACCAAGGCGTTGCATGGCAGCATCGAACGAGGCAGAAGTGCGGGTAGAGGGTTCGTAGAACAGCGTTGATAGGACCCGGCCCTTCAAAATATCGAGGACACCTTGACGTTGAACACCAAGTCGCATTTCTTGCGCAACGGTAAACAAAAGGTGAAGGTCAGCTCGAGTAAATTGATTCACTGATAGGATGTGCTTCTGCTTGAAGGTTGAACGCGAGAGCAGCTCCATCAGCGATGGGGATGTCGTCGGCGCGCTTGTTGGTTGGGCATACAAAGGCGGACCCAATTCGTTGCCTGAGAGGGCGATGGTATCCATATGCCTCAAGCGTGAGGGACGTGGAACGGGTGTCGTGTTGAAGGAAAGGCGTCGCCCAACCGAGTTGTCCCATCGAGGAGACTTGGGAGACTCCTTGACAGAGGGCGACGGAGGGGGCGCAAGTCGATAGTCAGACATGTCTGTACCGCGAGCGGCATCACTGAGCACAGCCCCGTCAAGGCAAGACGTCTTTCCTTGGAAGGTGACGCGCTGAACTGATCCGCGGAGAGTTTTGCCGTTAAACGGAGACCAGGCGCCTTCAGTCTGGAAGGTATAGGGTCGGTCGACCTCAATCTCGACGGAGGCATCATTCTGATCGTGAAGCTCAAATATCTTCTTCGGGTTGTCGTAAAGTCGAGAGGTAACGTCGTCAAGAGTCAGGCGCCCTTCGGCAACAGCGGTCAACAGTAGTGGGAGAGCATCGGCAATGCCAACTTCTGGACTTGCCTCCTTGCCCGCAAGCTGGTATGGCAAGCTTCCAATGGAGAAAACGTCGATGGTATTCAGATGCTCCCAGAGAGCCTCCTGATCTCTCTTCGACGGCAGACAAGTGCATTGCGGGTAGTCTTCGGTGGAAAGGAAAAGGGAGTAAATCGCGACATCGCAAGTGACACTCAATCCCTTCTCCTTGCTCAACGCAATCAAGCCAATATCGTCCTTTGAAGTAACGCTCATAACATGGACATTCCTGTTGTGAAGGCTGGCAAGAAGCAGGATGGACGCTAGATCAGTCGCCTTTGCGTCCGTGATGATCGGTTTACTCGATGGCCACGAAGCAAAATGAGATGTGACAGTAGCCACTTTGTTGATATTTCCGGCCAAATGATTAAACGGAATGAACAAAGAGCCAACATTAGCGGTGATCTGTCCAATTTGATCCGCATTGGTCGATGTGGCGGCAACGGAAAAATTATAATCGCAATACGTGGCTTTCTGGGAGTTGTTTTGCGCAATCTTCAGAGCTCGGGCGTCAGTAACGAAGCTATCAATTCCGACCGGCATAACTCGGATCATCGAAAAGCCAGCAGAGATTGATGCCTTGGTTACCAACTGGAGATCCGATGAGCCAACATCTGCAACACCGGGTACGAATGCAGCAATATTGATCAATCCAGGGAGAACGACAGTGCGATGGCTAGTCTGGAAATCGATAGGCTGCACAGCCAACTCAAACTGGCGAGCAATTGCCTCAATCAAAATCTTTGCATTCTTCACGTTGGTCACAAGGGGTGTCTGATAATCGACGGCCATACGACGAGTCCGATACCCCTTACTCATGTAGTTGGCCGGCCTTCTAAACTTGTTGCTGGATGGAAGGTTGATGTAAAGATCAATCAAGTTGTTGGCAAGATGTTGGGTAAGCGAGTATTCCGATTTCAAATCTTCTTCCTCGCCCGCTAGAAGTTCGAGATACTTCACCGGAATGCCGTGCTCGCGGATAAAGTCTGCAGTACCAGCTGTTGCGAAGAGATTATAACCCATGTGGTGAAGCTTGGTAATCGAAGGAAGCATTTCCATTTTCTCCTTGTAGGATCCAATGGAAACAAGAATGTTCTTATTCGGAAGCTTGAAGCCAGTTGAGATGAGAGCTTTGAGATATGCCTCATACCTGTCGCGACCGAAACAAGCGACTTCACCGGTGGAAGCCATTTCGACACCAAGGACTGGATCGGCACCAGACAGTCGAGAGAAAGAGAACTGAGGAACTTTAATGCCAACATAGTGTTTTGGGATATTAACGGGAGGGTATTCGACGAATGGTCGCCCGATCATTGCCTTCGTGGCCATTTCAATCAAATCGACGTTCATGACCTTGGAAACAAATGGGAAAGATCGCGAAGCTCGAACGTTGCATTCGATGACCTTAATCTCGTTGTCCTTGGCGATGAACTGGATGTTGAAAGGACCGGTCACATTGAGAGCGTTTCCAATCTTGCTCGTTGCCTCCTCGATTCGGCGGACAGTCTCTGGATCCAAATCCTGGGGAGGTGAGATGAGAGTTGCATCACCAGAATGAACACCAGCATTCTCAACATGCTCAGAGATAAAGTGGCCAACCATCACACCGTTCTTCGCAACGGCATCCATTTCGATCTCCTTGGCATTTTCAATGTACTTTGTGATGACAACCGGGTGTTCTCTCGAGACCTCAACGGCTTGATTGAGATAATTGGCTAAATCATCTTGAGAGTAGACGGTATTCATCGCAGCGCCGGAAAGGACATAAGAAGGACGGACAAGCACTGGATATTTGACCTTGGCACAGAATGCCGTCGCCTCGTCAATGCTAGTAAGCTCCTTCCATGCAGGCTGGTCGACACCAATGCGGTCAAGCAAGCGGGAGAACTTGTAACGATTCTCTGCGGCATCGATCATCTCTGGCGAGGTACCCAAAATGTTGACATTCAGGCGATGCAACGGCAAGGCGATATTGTTCGGTGTCTGGCCACCCATAGAGATAATAACGCCACTTGAAGACTCCAGCTGGTAGATATCGAGGACAGTCTCCAAAGTAATGTTTTCAAAATACAGTCGATCAGCTTCATCATAATCAGTACTGACGGTTTCCGGATTGTAGTTCACCATGACCGTCTTGTATCCTTGCTGTCTGAGTGTTCGGATAGCTCGAACAGAGCACCAGTCGAATTCAACGGAAGACCCAATTCGGTAAACACCAGATCCAAGAACCATGATACCTTTATCGTTGAATGAGATATCGCTCTCTGAACCGTTGTAGGTTAGATAAAGGTAGTTGGTGTAAGCCGGAAACTCAGCAGCAACAGTGTCAATCTGTTTCACAACAGGCATGATGCCAGCCTCGACCCTCAGTCTCCGGATGGCTAATTCATTTGAACTCAAAAATTTAGATAGCTGGCGGTCGGAGAAACCGAGCTGCTTGGCCTGTCGAACAAGAGAAACTGGGACGGTGGAAGCAGTATAATTGCTGATTATTTTCCCAAATTTGCTAAGGCCCTCGAGCTTGCGCAAGAACCATTTATCAATCTTGGTCAGCTCCCAAATATCATCGACAGTATAACCGGACTGCATAGCGTTCGCGATAGCAAAGAGTCGCTGGTCAGAAGGAGTCTGAAGCTCAGTTTTGATCGACATCAATGCATTGGTGGCGTTGAAACCCAAGTTAGTGTAATCGACGGCACGAATGGCCTTTTGTATGGCTTCTTCAAAGGTTCTACCAATACTCATGACCTCACCGACACTCTTCATTGAAGAGCCAAGCTGGGTCGAGACACGAGTGAATTTCTTCAAATCCCAGCGAGGGATCTTGACCACAACATAATCAAGAGATGGTTCGAAGCAGGCGCATGTCACCTTAGTGACGGTGTTGGATATTTCGTTCAACGGGATACCGAGACCCAGCTTCGCAGCAATGAATGCCAATGGGTAGCCAGTCGCCTTGGAAGCAAGAGCAGAAGACCTGGACAACCGTGCATTCACTTCGATAATGCAGTATTCCTTTGAAAACGGATTTAGGGCATATTGGATATTGCATTCGCCCACGACACCCAAATGCCTAATGACATTGACTGCTGTTGTTCGGAGCATATTATAGTCTTCATCTGACAGGGTCTGTGACGGAGCAACGACGATCGAGTCACCAGTGTGGATACCGAGGGGATCAAAGTTCTCCATGTTGCAGACTGTGATGCAGTTGTCCTGTGCATCACGAACAACTTCATACTCGATTTCCTTCCATCCCTTCATACTCTTTTCAATCAGGACCTGAGGGCTAGCGGCGAACGCCTTGGCGCAAAGATCCCGCAGTTGCTCAGTATTGTCTGCGAAACCGCTTCCAAGACCACCGAGCGCGTATGCAGCCCGGACAATGACGGGGAAGCCGATATCCTTGACAACTTCGAGGGCTTCTTCGAGAGTAGAAGCCGAGGCAGACTTGGCGCACTTTTCTCCAATAGATTCCATGCTTCGAGCAAACAGTTCACGGTCCTCGGTGGTGATGATGGTTTCGATAGGAGTACCTAGAACCTTGACCCCAAGGCTTTCAAACTCGTCTTTAAGCTGAATGCCGACCTGCAAGGCGGTTTGACCACCGAACGTGACATAGATAGCATCAGGACGTTCGTGTTTGATGACCTTGCGCACGAAATCAGCGTTGACCGGGAGGAAGTAGACTTTGTCTGCAAGTCCCTTGGATGTTTGAATTGTTGCGATGTTCGGGTTGATTAGGACGGTGTAAATTCCTTCCTCTTTGAGGGCCTTGATCGCTTGACTACCCGAGTAGTCAAATTCTCCGGCCTGGCCGATGCTAAGACCACCACTGCCCAAGATGAGGACCTTCTTGACTGAGACCTTAGGGTGGGCGAGGCGGTTTTCTTCAATTGTGCCACCAGGGAAGTAGACGGGCTCGTTCAATCCAGAAGGAGACTCGATGCTCTTCTTAATTGTATTGATGAAGACATCAAAGAGAAATTCGGTGTCCCGAGGGCCCGGTGTACTTTCAGGGTGGAATTGAACACTGAAATATGGCTTGGAAACGTGTCTAATGCCTTCGTTGCTTCCGTCGTTGGCATTGACAAACAGTTCCTCCCAGCCTTCGGGTAGGGTTGAGGAATCCACGGCATAACCATGGTTCTGGGAGGTAATATAACAACGTCCTGACAGCATGTTGGTGCAAGGGATGTTGTGACCACGGTTTCCAAACTTCATCTTGATAGTCCCGGCGCCGGCGGCACGAGAAAGGAGCTGGTGACCAAGGCAGATACCGAAGACTGGGGTTCGGCATTCCTTCAGGGCCTTTGCAAGATTTTCAACGGTGGAGGCGAGCATCGCTGGGTCACCAGGGCCGTTGGACACGAAGAGGCCGTCATAGTCATTGCCGCCCAGGGAATGAAAGTCGTAGTTCCAGGGTACAACAAGAACTTCAACGCCACGAGCGAGGAAACATCTAAGTTGATTGTATTTCATGCCAACGTCGACACATAAAACACGGATGGTACGACCTGAGGGGTGGAGAATGGCAGCCTTTGGCGGTGTATAAAGTCGAGGCTCCTTGACCGAGACTATGGTAAACGGTTAGCAAACCTTCGTAGCCGCGATTGGAAGCAGGCCGCATTTTCTTACCCTCTTCGACGAGATTTCTCTTGTTGGGATCTACCCATTCGATATTTTCAAAATGCTCGCGCCATCTCCCCGAATCTTCACCATCGACGGTCTCCGCGAGATCGTGAACCAGGTCTTTTCCGCTTGTGGACTTTTGAAGCAGCATACGGCCGAGCATACTACCCTTTTCGCGGATTCTCTTTGTTAGAGCCCGGGTATCGACGCCGTAGATTGCAGGAACATCCTGTTCTTTCAGCCATTTGCCCAAGGAGCTCTCTGCCAAGAAGTGCGAGTACTCCTCTCCGCAGTAGCTGGCGACGACCAACCCGGAGATGTGAATTTGGCTGGACTCGAAGTGCTTGGGGAGATCCTTTGCCAATTCGTCCATGGTCTCACGGGACGGGACACCGTAATTGCCCACGAGAGGGAACGTAATGACCAGGATCTGCCCGCGATACGAAGGATCTGTTATCGATTCAGGGTACCCCACCATGCCGGTCTGGAAGACCAGCTCGCCGGCAACGCTCTTCTCCGCACCAAAGCTGAGTCCATGGTAGATGGTCCCATCTTCGAGCTCGAGAAGAATTGATCTGCCGGAGTCTTCGGTGATCTGTGCGGAGGCCGGAGGGATCACAGTCGGACTGATGGAGGACTGTGCGGCCTGGGGGGGCTGCTGCTCATTCTGCAGGTATGCAACGGCACCGCCGGCGGAGGGGGCAACGGGGAAGAGCGAGTCCGAAGCTCTCAGAGGGCTGGCAGGAGATTGGGGAGATTTCGCGTCGGAGGAAGAGCTGAAGAGCGGCATCTCGCCGTCCTCTCGAGAAGCTGTCGCGTGGTGAGTTGACTATTCAGAGTGTTGCATCCACAATGGAACAAGGGTGGGGGGTAAGCGGTCGGGAGATTAGATAGCTTGACTGGCTTTGTTCCGTGCTGTCGTCCAATTCCAGGTCAAACGTGAAAGAAGGAGAAAGCATTGGACAAGGACCCAGAAGAGAACTGAGGGAAGAGAAGGAAGAGGAAAAGAACGACGAAGCAGCATCAAAAGGAAAAATTTGCGGGCAAAAGACTTTTTTTTCGCATCTGGAGTGGTTCGGGCTGGTGATTGGAGGGGCAGCGCTGAACCTTGTCGCAGCTTGGAAGAGAGCTCCACTCCACAACGAAAAACGAGAAAAAGAGAAAAAGAAATAGAAGGGGAAGAAAGAAGAAGTACGGAGTAGGATATGATCAAAGGCCATCGATGATCAAGGCGATGAACGAGCAGAAACGGCGGAAATATCGAGGAAAGGATAGAGAGTGGAAAGGATAGAGAGTGCGCAACCAAGTCTGCGCTGCTCGACAAAAAGAACAAACGTCGACCACGCTGCGATTCGAACGCAGGATCTCTGGCTGTCGAGAAAACCGGAAACCAGCGCCTTAACCATTAGGCCACGCGGCCATGAACTGCGGGGTTGCTCGCTCAAGCACATCAAGCGGAGATGGAGTTGTGCAATCGACATACCCTGTGCGGGATACCCCTCTACTCCATGCAATACTGTTCGTCTATCTATCGAGTGCTCGGAAAGGGTATATATTTACAAGAGCCAATCATGATTTCGCTGCAACAATTTCCGGCATTGATTTGGCCTTCCGCGACTGAACAGACCCATCGGCCATTCCAAAATATGCTGCAATCGGTTTCTGGCCACCAACGCCGCCAGCAGCCTGGGCTTGTGGTCCGGTAAGACCGCAGAATAGCCCAACCTCTAGTACGCCGGGAATTTGTTTAATCTCCCTTGCCAGCGCTTCTACCTCCCATTGAGCGTCCGTCGCGGCATCAGCCTTCCCGCTTGCGATATCTGACGCTGTGAGGAGCTGTGGGAACGGAGCGTCAACGATGAAGAAGCTTTGGTCTGTTTTGATAGGGCCTTCTCGCTGCACTAGCGAATGCCGGAGCTGGGGCGCGGGGCTTCCGAGCGCTTTGAGGGCGGTGATGACTCTGCGTGATGCGAGAGGGGCGACCTCGATGGGTACGGAAGGCCAGGCGGTGAGAAGGCGGGACTGAAGTTTCCGATAGTCTGTCGTAATTCAATTCAGCCCTGTTAGCATCCACGGACGACTGGATTTGGCACGAGGAGGGGTCAGACTGTACCGGCGACCACGATAAATTCCTTTGCTTGCATCGCGACTAATTTTTCCTGAAACAAACATGCGCCGCCGCCTTTGATGCAATTTAAATCATCATCAACCTCGTCAGCGCCGTCAAACGCGACATCCAAAATGGCGCCTTCTGGCAGTGCGTCGAATGCGACGGGCGTCAACCCCGCATTCACAATGAGTTGATTCGACTGGAATCCGGTAGGCACAAAAGAGGTGGATGAAGTATCAACTCCCAGCGCTTTGATGGCTTCGACCACATACACGATGGTCGTCCCGCTTCCGATGCCAACAAACTTGGGGGATTGAGGGTAGTGGTTTGCAACAGCTTCGCGAGCTGCAGCACGTTTGGCATCCTCTATAGATGGCATTGTGCTTGTGGAAAGGAAATACCGTGGCTTGCGGCGGATGAGAACGGGTGCAATACAGCGAGAGAAGCTGCTTCGACTGTGTCCCACTGTAGAGATCAAATTTTTCAGCATAGAGATGAAGGGCCTGAGGAACAACACAGTTGGTCTGACAATATTAGGAAACAAGATTTAGGCTAACTAACCAGTTAACTAGCTAGTGAGCTGGGTCCAAGTTAGTTAACTACCTTGTTACTCTGGTTAACCGTCTGCAGACAACAAGTATAAGAACTGTCATCCAGAGTGCTCTTGCTCCTAAAGTGGCATGGAAAGTGATTGAGTTATCACCACAGGTACTATCAGAATAACCTTCAGATCATCTGTCAAAGCCAAAAATAAAAAAAAGAAAGCCTCAAAATCATCGACCAGGCTGTAACTAAACCACCCATTAACTAGCCACGCGGCCATGTTGGATCCTGAGGGCACACCTTGAACCTCTCATGTTTCTCTCGCAACCAAGCGCCTATCCTCTTCAAACGGTCAATTTGTCAAATTGACGACTGGATATTTACTATCAACTCCTTTGTCGCTCCAGCTAGATAACTAGCAAATCACGTGATCTCGCGCCTCGCCCGCAGTTCTGCAACATCGTCATCACGAATCCGGGCAACCAGGGCTGACTTCCAACTCGGTGAATCCCTCTACCATCACCTCCATCAATCATCGGTAACGAGCGGTTCATTAATCGGTTCCGGCTCTTATTCCAAAAAGCCAACCCACTGCCTTTTTGAGCTGTGTCAAACAAGCAACAGGCCGTCAAGATGGCGTCCTCCTCCAAACCATCTCCCTCCCTCCTCTAGTATGCGCCATCAGTCCATTGCGTTTTGCGAGTATGAAATTATTAACCATATCCCAGCGCATGCATTGCGAATAAAACAACCATCCTCGCCGAACACTCTTCTCCAGGCACGTCGTCGAGCTCGGCCTCTTCGTTAGCTTCCATCATCCTCCCTAAGATATCCCACCAATCGCCCCAAAAGCTCACCTACACCCATGACCGCCTATTCATACACTACATAGCCGACTCACCGTCCGCTCCATCTTCTTCCTCGGGCCCAGATTCTCATGCCCCGCTCAGCTACCTTGTCGTTGCCACTGCTGAACTTGGCCGGCGCATCCCCTTCGCTTTCTTGCTCGAAATGAAACGCTCATTCCTTACCACATACGAACCCGACCGCACCGACTTTGGCACTCTCCCGGCTTATGGCTGCGCTGCATTCAATAATGACCTTCGCGCGTTGTTGCAGCAGTACAACACCGCGCCACCATCGGACTCACTCGCATCCGCGCGAAAGGAAATCGACAATGTGCGGGATATCATGACGGAAAACATTGAACGTGTTTTGGAGCGCGGCGAGCGGATAGATTTGCTTGTGGACAAAACGGATCGGCTGGGAAGCAGTGCCAGAGACTTCAGGGTCCGAAGTCGGGATTTGCGGAGACGCATGTGGTGGAAGAACATAAAGGTTGTGGCGCTGCTAGTCGTGGTGGTGCTGTTTCTAATATACCTCTTTGTGGGGATGGGGTGCGGGCTACCCGCTTGGGGGAAGTGTGTTGGGAAGAAGGTACAGGACAAGATGGTGCTTTGATTCCCGGGGGTTTGAAATTCGGTTCTTTGGTTTTACTTGCTTTTCAATGATATCCGATTCATGCATAAGACACATGATACTCTTCCCCATGTAAGTTTACACATTTACAATTTTCAGCAAGCTCGGTTTTTCTATTATCAGATACGGATCGAAGTCCAAACTTGGCTTTCTGTTCCAAAATTCAAAAACTGGTATTCAATAATATTACTTTCAATATGTAGCTTGCCATCAAACTCACTGCCTTCATTGATGTAACATCTGGGCGCAAGTCTGCAGGCGAGCCTCTTGTTTCAAACTGCCTCACCATCACAAGGACAGGAGGCATTTGATTGGCTTAATATACGCCAGCCGTATACCTCTGACAACCATTGGAGAGCGATCTGAGAAAGAAAGCTTTTCTGGTTGGCGAGGAGATAATACTGGCCATCGAGGCTGGGCTCGGATGGGACCGGTTCTCTGGAATGGAAAACGCGGCCGAAAATGAAGCAAATCAACAAGGGAAATGGAGGACGGATCAGGAGGAAAATTTCTAAGACCTGTGAATTTATCTTTCTGCGATAATTTCTCGGCAGTTGCATCTTGACGTGGGCAGTAATCGAATTATTTTCAGCATCGAGTGCCGAAAACCGAGGGAATAGAGTAGGGACATGCGGAGAAGGTTGGAGAAAACGCCCAAACAAACAGAGCCTGCCCTATGGTAAAAAACCCCAGGTGAAAGATGTCATGCCATCAAAGGTCCCGTTGATTCATTTCGTTTCTTTTGGTCGAAAACGTAGAAAACCCTTTCATTACTAAACAAGAACGAAGTCACTCCCAGCGCTTATGCGGATGTAGCCTTCGCTCTGGCCTCTCTTCCCTTGCCCATGCGGTCCAAGATGGTCTCACGGTCCTTATCCAGCTTGAGTTTGGTGATGACGACTTTGGAGGGGTGGATGCCGATCGGGACGCTCTGGCCGTTGGACTTCTCGCGGGTGACACGCTCGACGTGGACAACGTACTTGAGGCGGTAGACGCTGGTGATCTTGCCCTCACGGCCCTTGTTGGTACCGCGGACAATGGTGACCTCGTCGTCCTTGCGGATGGGTATTGAGCGCACCTACAAAGTCACAGACAAAGAAAGCTTTTAGAAATTCTGTTCTGCATCTGCAATGGAGGCACGGATTCGCTGGTTTTGTGGAAACAGAACTCAAGATAATCACATAGTCGCAGTGCGGGAGGAGGATCCAATCGTACATTGTGCTTTTCTCTCAATTCCTTGCTCAATGGGGCACTCATGATAACTCGTCGCTCGCCAGAGGAAGCGCCGAAATGGGCCTTGCGCGACTTCCGGCGCGAAGAGGCCAGTTCTAACATAGAAACGAGCTCGTCAGCAATCACTTCCCGCAATGCCTTGTCTTCTTCGAAGATAAGGGAACCATCCCATGCGCCAAAGGAAAGACAAATACACACCCTTGTTGATCTTCGTCATTTTGGCAGATCTGTTCTGGCGGCCGAAAGGTGTTGCTGTGGTTGAGGTTATCGACCCTTCGGGGATTGCTGGTCGTCGTCAACTTCGATGTTCTCGCTTCCGTCGCTTGAAATTGTTTTCGGTGCGCACTGTGTGGGTCAGCTGACCACGGCCTTGGCGTGGCCTAGGGTTCGGCTGACATAAGCAGATAGTCTGACTAAGCGGCCATCACGTCTCCCCAAAAGAGCTTCTGAGAAGATCGAACTGCGGATGGAAATGCAGGCGAGAGGAATAGTGGGCTGAAGGAGTTAACTGCATCCTCGGCACTCTCTTGTGGTTGGCGACGCGCTCAGTGGGCTCTTGCGCGTGTTACATGGTTAAAGTCGCCCATACCTACCGCCTAGTCGTCTTGTCCGCCCGACACCAATTCCAATCTCCTCTCGCGCGCGGTGATTCCCGCGACTTTCGGCGCATCTCCATGCAGTGACGCGGCTCGCAACCTGTGGACTATGGGTGCTAAGCGATATGTCTTATCCCGGATACAATTTTTCCTCTCAGCATCAGGGACCTGGGCGAAGCCAAACCTCCAATTCCTCTTACACCGCGAGACAGCCTGCCTCGAACAACCCGTCGTCTGCTGCCCCGATCTCGAGCTGGCATAACGCAGAGCCCGTATACTCCCAGTATGGATGGCAAGGGCAGAATTCTTCTCTAAACAGGCAGCCGTCCAACTCTTCAAACACTGGAAACAGTTACTCAGCCAGCAATGAACCTCATAAACGTCCCCAGGCTTATTCCCAGTCAACCCCGTACCAGAGCTCGCAATCAGCCCTGGATCAGCCACGCATGTCGCTTGGTCCTTCTACAGATAATCCATATAATAACGCAAGAGTTGGGTCAGGCACTCCGAGCCAAACGGACTCTTCCGTCAACACGAATCTTTACTATCACCAAAAAGCTCAGATTCGAATCCCTTCCTCAGATGCAGCGCCATCTTATCAACCGAGTCAGTCCTCCTTAGATCCCATGGATCGTCCAAGTTATGCGCAACGGTCAAGAACGGCTGCTGCAAGTGCTATGACAGCTCTATCTTCCTCCGTCCCCAATAAACGCTTTTCACCACATGCTCCAATCGCGTCGTCGACAGTATACTCCAGTCAGTCTCACACCTACATCCCAACTGTTCCTGATACATCCCCGGCGAACAACAGGAGTCCGCCCAAGTATTCATCTAATCCAGGGTTGGGGACGCGTCAAACAGTTACCCATCAGGCCTCAAATACAACGCAACCTCCTGCAGTCCATATAGGACAGGGACAAGATACTTCTCATCCACCGCCCCAAACACCATATCATTCCCCAATCCCCCCCTCTCAACGATCCCGGAGTATGCTTCCGCAAGACCTCACGCCTTCTGGCCGGACAAGCCGGTCAGCCGCCACAGCTCCACCGCCCAGTCATGGCCCCGCGCATAATACTACACAGTCAGAACCGGCTTATTCATCAAATATTAAAGGATCACAGTCAACTATTACGCGCGACGATAGTGCTATGCACCAGTATTCCAACCCAGAAACTCGGAACCAACACACACAGAGTGATAACCTTGGAACGGAAAGGAGCGGCGCCGTCCCTACTCAATCTCCTTTGCAATCGTCACTACCAACCTTTGTGGACCCTAGCAAAATATATGATCCTTATCATGATTATGAGCGAGCGCGCGCAGCGTACAATCAAAGCACCCAGACTCGACAGCCGGCCCAAGCTACACCAGCAGAGTCGTCTCAAAATACAACTGTTAAACAGGCACTTGTTGCAGCCCTAGCTAGCAACTCGTCACAGTCTCCATTGCAAACTGGAAAAGAAGAAACGGCACCAGTCGTGCAAGATGCTAGCAATCCCACGACAGGTCCACAAGGCCGTGGTATCAAGAAAGTAAACAATTCCAATAAACCTGGTCCAAAGCGGAAACGACCATTGTATGAAATCTCCCTGTTTCTCTTCTTAAAAAGCTTGCCCTAATTATCTTTGACTAGGCCTCCAAGTTCAACATCAATGGAACATGAGAATAGAAAAGGGGCACAAGAAAAGCCAAAGAATACTCCCAAGAAGAGGGGCCGGCCTCGTAAAGCACTTTCTAACGCTGTAACTAAAGAAGTGCAAATTAATCCTCCTCAGACTACTGCAGATCCCAATCCACATTCTCTCGATGCAGAGCCTTCTCTAGGGAGCTCTATGGAAGAATCTATGGCTTCAGAAATGAGGCTGATGATTGAAAAGATGAGGGAATGGAGGTCTAAAGACCCTTCATTATTTGCAAAACTGTGGGAGGATGTGAAGAAGGTATTTGAAATATCTAGCTTCTAGATATGAATCTTAATTAACCAAACTGATTATCCAGGCGCCTGTTTCAGCAAACAGTCAATCCCCTTCCAATTTTCAGGCACCTGCTACCCAACCCGTATCAAAACCAAACGAAACGGTAGCGGTGAGTGACAAACCACCTGTCCAGACTTCAGTGGGGCCGCAAGCAGCTGTTGCAGACACGGAAAACCTGTCGGACCTTGGAAATTTTCCAGCTGCACGAAGGAAACGGACAGCCAAAGCGCGCCTCACCAGTAGCGACATTGTTGCTGAAGATGCGGCCAGAATAGCTTCTAGCAAAGCCACTAGCGAGACTGTCGTCGAGGTCACCCAGAAGGATGAACCCGTCCAATCCACCGCCACTCCTGCTGCCGTATCAGAGGAAGTGCAGAAAGCGCCAGGAAGTACTCAAGCAGATCCACAGCCTCAATCCGCGCCAAAGGTGGCCAAAAAATCAAACATTTGGCCACTCTCAAAACGCCAAGCACTTGCAGAAGCAGCATGCAGTTACATCACAGGCCGTGAGTATAACTCTGGAAAAGATTGCCCTGTGAGTTTAATTCTAGACTTGATTAACCAGGACCCATCATACACTCAACTTTGCGAGATGGTTGAACAGAAAGGATTCTCTATCAACCGTGTTCACTTTGCGAAGCACCTTCTCAAGGCAGTCCCAGACCTGGCAGGTGGCTCCCAACCGAAGACTACAGGGCCTACCGCTGCAGGCCAACATCCACCTCCTGCAGGGCGCTCCAAGACCAGCTTTCACACCTTTTGTGGCGCCAGTGCT